CACCGGCCAAGAAAAAGGGGTTGGCAGTAGGCATAGGATTGGACATAATTACTAATTTATGTTGTATCTACGATGATTTAGCTTATCATCAACATAAGACGCAGATTTAGTTGATCCTTTCCTTCTGCCGCTAGCCGCTAGAGTCGTCGTTGTAGGTCCATGTTGCGTAACAACACAATTACACCCTCTTCGCTCATCATTAACCTTTAGTTCTCTGTTTCCTGATCCAGAGTCATTCTCTTGAAACACCGTGTTAAATCTTGTTACTTTGGTACATTACTGAATACTGTACAACATGTAGGCTACCAAGCACATCAACATGGCGTGCATTTGTACTGAGCTACTTTTAAACAAAAGTGGAACAAATTGCGGAAATTTGCAGTGCGGTTTTTGAATAAATACTTATTTTCCTATTCATAAGGTTTTTGACTAACGTGTGTTTGTTAAGCCCTTAACCGAAATATATTTACTCGGGTTGAGGTGTATTTATTTCCTATATTGACAAAAAGGTGTCTATTATTCGTGATAAATCAATAGTGTATTGCAATCACTTAGCTTAATTGACTTTATATGTTAGTTAACGAAACAACACCAATGAGGTGTTGAAAGACGAGGATGAATCAGAGAGAATGTACAAACGAGGTTACGGTAATGTATTAAATGGAGATGACATCAGTGGATCGGTCTGGAGCCTAGGGCGACTCGTCTAGACGCTGGCAGATAATGTCTTTCAAATTAATATTCCCCACTTCCGTGTCATCTTTGCCAGTCATCTCCTACCGAATAATTACAAGATAATAAAAAAATACCATTGGTTTAATTTTTTTTTATTTCATTCATACGCCAAATACCAATTCTTATGGTTTAATGGTTGGCACACAAAACAATGCATCCACTCATAGATTTCATCCAAGCAAAAACTTAAACATAACTCAAAAGATATAATCATGACAAAGATGCAAAGAAAAACGAACTTAGTTAAATCGTCTACAAAAAATATAATGATATAGTAATGACAATATTCTGTGAAAAGCTAACATGAAACATGTGACATTAGCTATTAAACTTAGAACTTAGCTATACCATTGAGTATAAACATAACAATTGCTATACTAAAATAGCTGTTACCCACGGGCTTCACCCAGTTTGACTTCACGAGTATTAATAAAACCTTTGATTGGTTAAGTTAATCCGAAATAGAAAAAACTGAATACAGTAATAAAAACAAATAATCACATCTGATTATAATAAGGTAATAACATTGTAATAAATTGAAATAATCGTACAAATAAGTACAGCTGAGGTAATTTTAACATGGTATATGGAAAGTTCCCTTAAGAAAGGAATTACGACCGTAAAGGGCAATTTATGAAATAATGGATAGTTTTGCACAAGGTTCCTCGTCATGACGAACATTTTATGGTTTAAATGGGGGTGTGGCTTTTAGTTTTCTCAAAAGTTCATGGGTATTTTGGGATTTATTTATGGATAAATATACAATGGTTTTGGGTTTTCAACACATAACGGGACTCCCTCCTAACGCAAATTACAACACAATCTACGTTCAAAGGTTTATAGATAGCTTGGTAAATATCTTTTGATATTTATCCGCCATTTGAAAACCGCGGATTTTCACTGATCAACAGATTGCTCCAGCCGTCAGCAACTGACCTTTGTTGATTTTTATTGGTCCAAAATGTAAGGAACCGGTTGACGAAGTGATCAGGTTATCGCCGTCGAGACACTGTCACTGACCGAAATAGCAACCGATGCTGCGGGAGCCGCGCCTGGGGGATCAATGTGAACCGGTAACCGGTGTGTGATAATGTGAAGGCCGCTTGTGAACTGTACTCTCATCTTCACTCTTCAGTCAGCTGATGTTCCAAAGAACCGCAGCCAGCGAATGGCCTGTTTAAAATGGCTGATTGTTTTAGTTTAATTTTTCTTTCATTAGCTGCGGTGCTCCTCTGTTGCAAAATATGAAGTCTGTTTTCAGTGTTTTTCATGGTGGAGTACTTAAAAGTTCAACTGCTCTTTTTCTTTTAAGGTAGCTTTAACAACATGCTCTTTTCTTCTTATTTGTAAGGGACAAGTTAATTAAATCACCTTGTTAACAATCAAAGGTCAACAAACATCAGAGCTACTTAACTGATAACTCAGTCAGCAAAGATAAGATAGAAAATATAATTTTAGAGTTTTATAGGTCGCTTGATTATTTTGAGCTGATTTATAAGGATGATAAAAATATAAGGTAGTCTATAAACCATGGTTAGATCAACTCTGCAGTGACAATGTTTTAACTCATTGACTATTTTGGTATTTTGTGATAAACTACGCACTGCAGAAAAAGTGGTCCAACTCCTCAAAGATTTGGTTGAAATGCCTCGGATCATTGATAACTGGATGCTGGAAGTATACAGGATTATTCTAAATGATGGACCCATTTTTAATGCTTTATAATTTTTTTACTATTAAACTTACCGCTATAAAATACACATCAAACAAAAAAGCAAGAGTTTATGCCTTCCAAAGACACATCATTTAACAATATGATCCAACAGAACTGTAGGTTTAATAATACAAAGTTAAAAAGTAATCTCCAACTATTTTTACCACTAGAAATTTGGAGGTTACTTGACGTTTTTGCAAATAACTTTTAAATGGTGAGGAAATCGACCAAAGTGGAAGGTATTATTCCGAAAGAGAATAAAATTTCCTACAATCTACTGTTAAGCATTTTTTGAAAATACTCAAGAAAGGTACCAAAAATTGCCTCAAAATGAAAAAAAAATTGAAAATCCCCGTCTTCAATTGTAGACAATAAACATAGCAAACATTAAATTTTACACTTTTTTATTTTAAGCCAAATTTAGGCTACATTTATTGAGTATTTTCAAGATATGCGTAATAGTAGATTGTAGGAAATTTTATTCTCTTTCGGAATATTACCTTCCACTTTGGTCGATTTCCTCACCATTTAAAAGTTTTTTGCAAAAACGTCAAGTAACCTCCAAATTTCTAGTGGTAAAAAAAGTGGGAGATTACTTTTTAACTTTGTACAATTAAATCTACAGTTCTGTTGGATCGATATTGTTAAATGAGGGAAGGCATAAACTCTTTGAGTTGCTTTTTCGTTTGATGTGTATTTTATAGCGGTAAGTTTAATAGTACAACAATTATAAGCATTAAAAATGGGTCCATCATTTAGAATAACCTTGTACATCCCAATTTGGTGTCGCAATTTTTTTTTAATTTTACTAGAAAAGAACTTAATTGGGTGAACTACTAGTCACAGAATGTAGGCTACTATTGTCTAAAATTATATTTTCTACCTTATCTTTTGTTGCTGACTAAGCTAAGTTGATGGGTAATAACAGTTGGAAACAGTTGCTATCATAGGGCTTCTAGGTGTCGAATGAGGCAACTCAAACAGTGAAAGTACTCACCCCAAACTGTTGTTAATTGATTGTGATTCACAATAGTTTATTCCATTATTCCATACCTGGTAAAACCATCCATGTAATAAATTAGTGATTTAGATAGCACAATCTGTGCTGGCTCACATAAACTAAGGCAACTTTAACATGGGAAAGGAATGTTGTTGTATCAATAGTCAAAGCCTCTTATAATTTGCTCATATCTTGATTAATGTACTTTAACCACTCATTTGTAATTTGTATCCCAGTATACAAGAGAGCCCACAATCCCCCACATTAAAGCACTAAAAGTTATGAACATTTAATGACTAATATAGAAAAACAAAACAAATAATAAACTACTACACAGTTTCGTGCTAGTGCAAAATAACATCTTGTTGAATAAATTTTCTTAAGTCATCTGTATTCCACAATTTCCAGCTGAGTAGTTTGTAGTCAGGCTGCAAAAAGATGTAGACAGAGAGCGAAGCAAAAGAATTCTGAGCTCTCGGAATGCAAGAGTTCAGAGAAAGTATTAAATTACTCTATAAACAACAACGTTCAGAGTTTGTGGCGAAATAGGAATGGAAAGACATTGAGCTGTGACAATGTTGAACTCTGCTGAAAAGATTATATTGTAGATCTTGTGAAAACAATAATGTATTTTTAACTAATCAAGTAACCTGTAAAAATTTAAATTTTTTATAAGATCTCCACCATCTTATCTTAATGCTATTGAAATTGCAGCTTCAAACTCAACAATCAAGAGTAGAGGTTTTTAATATTGACTGTGCCTTTTAGAAGTAGAACCATATTGACTATGTACAGTACTCTATTATTTTATACAGTACTCTCCAATAATGTGGTAATGGTTGAACAAAAAAACTAAAAATAATACTTCAAAACAGTTTTTAAAATATTCTTTTTTTAAGCTGAGGGAAAATGAGATCTTAGTTCTACTTCTACTTTATACTTAATTAATTACAATACTGTTCAATACTGTTCAATGAATGGCGACCATACATAGTAGGTATTTTAAGCCAAGTATGAATGGAGATGAGTGTAGGATGAGTGGCGCGATCTTGTAGTCTTGTTAGTGACTAAGGCCGACATTCCTTAGACACAGCTGTTAATTAATAGCCCATACAGCTAATGGCAACTACAGTAAGGGACCTACAGTTTATAGTGGAATCCGAACCACATTTTCCTTGGTATATACGAATTGGTCTAATTATCAGGATAGTACTGCGGATAGCCGTAGTACTCACTCGTGCGGACGTTAATCCACACCAGGGAGTATCTCATCCACAGTGCATGCCGATAAATATCCACAGTGACTCATAGATAACACCCCACTATTTAAGGTATGATTATGACCGTTAAATGTTAAATATGATAATTTTTGCATCAAAGCAAGCTTATTTATTAATGCAGTGTCTAAAGTCAATGATCTAACTAAACAATTTAAAAATCAATCGGCTCAACATAATTTATAAATTTATGGCTATTGCAAATGTGTTAACCTTTAAGTGTTAGTTTGATGGCTACAAGTTCTCTTCTGACTGGTACATATTTTTGTTTCAGCTTGTATTGGACTACTCTTGAACTGGTACCACCATGGACTTTCCATTGCAACTGAACCTGGGGTAAGCCAACACTAAGTTACCTAAATAATTTGTTTGATAGATGATGAGGACAAAAAAATGTATAGAAAATGAGTGAAAATTTAAAAACGTACGTTTTCAGGAAAAGCACTTTGCAAATTTTTTCCCCTTTTTTCAAAACTTTTATTATTTTTTTTATTTCATTAACATTTTAAGTTTCATAAAATCTCCATGGTAATGCAATATCTTTGGTAGTTTTCTTTTTAAAGAGCATCTTTAGTAGAAAAACACAAAATCCTGTCACGACCATAACAGACGTTTAAATGAATATTAAAAATAGTTAATATTATTTTCATAACTATGTTTTGCTATAAACTAGTTTACTTTTATGACCATTATACAATAAAAAGGTCACTGAGCTTTTGGTATATTTGGTCTTTCTAGAAAAAACTTTAAAAAAACTCAAAAAATAGAAAAAAGCCAATAAAATCTTTTTAAGTTTGTATAACTCCGAAAAAACTTACCTGACATCCAAAAAATCGTTATGTTTGTATAGAGGTGTGCTTCTTTTGTGTATAAAACATTGAAATATGACGATATTTTAATTTTTGAAATTTTTATGATAGAAATCATAAACGTGATGGTCAGGGACAAGCGGTACGGTCGTGAATTGTCTGGAATAATCTAAATCTTTCTAAACAATCCTTCAATTATACTGTTAGTTATAATAAAACTATGTGTTTCAATTGAACTAAACTGTTCAATTTACAATTATATTAAAGTTATTGTCACGACCAAACACACTATAATCCATAAGGCTGGATTGGTCGTGAAAAAAACCACGATGGTCGTGAAACTTTGGTCGTGAAATTACGTGTTATTTGGCTCTGTTCTGGTGGTAGCCCTGCACCTCATGTTCGAGGATACAAAGTGGACTTCTAGGTTGATCTAGCAATTGAAATATCTTATAAACAAAAATTAACACCATGTCTACTTCATCGAATGACTACTTACGGTCATGGACACACCAAAATTACAAAAAACACAATCTTTCCTTTATTAATCTTGTAACTCCTCCTTTCAACTCAAAACGACCGGCACTACAATCCTGACGTACACCCTGAACTAGTCTCTAAAACCAACTGACTCCATCGACGCCAGGCTTGCCACTGTCGTGATCCAAAGTTGAAAATTTTTCCCAAATGGTCGTGACGCCAAATCGAGGGACAGACTTATTTTGTCATGGTAGTCAGTCTGCAATGACAATAAAATTATAATATGCTCCTTTTTTGTAAGTTTAATAACCATTGATGACATAAAAATATGGCTTTATATATTTCGGCATGAATAATTAGTCTAAAAACAGCGTGAAAGTTGGAAAATGTGACCCTAGGGACACGCCATGGTCGTGAATTTCGAGACTTTAAAAATACGAAAAAAATACCTAGAACCTATTTCAAACCAAATAAATGTGTGTAACATGTTGCCCCCGTACCAAAAAATATTAAAACACATAATAATAAACTACGAATCCAGTATCTACAAAGTAAAAGGCTAGGGACATGAAAACGTACGTTTTTAAATTTTCACTCAAATGCAATAAGCTGTCCTTACAGTGTTGAAAAGTGTTTTACAACAACAGCACAACTTATCCTGAAGATTCTTTTCCATCCCATCCATAGCTCAATTAAAATGCACACTACCCAGGAAGGGCATTTCCATAGAGCTCAATAGTGCATGCTAAAAAAAAAAAAATTAATAAAAAAAAACAAGGAAACATTTCAAATAAAATATAAATGGTGAAAAAGGATGAAATCACCAACAACCCAGACTGTCCATGAAGCAGCTGAAAACACGACATTTAACCTTACAACTCTAGTCGGACAATAAGTAGTTTTGGCTGATGCATGAATATCCAACAAATTCTGTCTAACCAACAAATTTGGATTTTTTCAGTTTCTGGACTTTGACAACTTGCCAGAGACCAATTTCTCTTGTGAAGGGAAGGTGATTGGTGGTTACTACGCGGACACGGAGACAGGATGTCAGATGTTTCATGTTTGTACCATCGGTCAAAAAGGTAACTTAGTTCTTTTGTCAATAAACATTTGTTCCCATCCATATATATGATTGTCATTGTAACTGGATCGTTTGCTGAAATGCTCAGAACTATGCTGTTATCGGTCTGACCTAACTGTTAACCGCTACAACCATACAGTTCATACAAGGGCTACAGTGTTTTCATTGATAAAACTTAAGTGCCTTTATTGATACTCCCTTGATTCAAACGCTGGGTTGACTACTACTGTACATGTCATGAAAAAACTGAGATTTTTGTATATAGATATAGATAAGCTATTTTAGTGATGCTGGTGGTAGTTTTTAAACTAAAATAGTTTTAATACTGGAGTTTGCTATGATTACTAATTTGAAACCCCAGCGACATTTTTTTAAACTTGATACTGTAACCATAACTAATCAATAATAACAATCGACTTTTTCACTGACTGAACGGTTTCTTTGCAACACAAACGATCTAGAGTATTACATATTGTTATTCTGTTTGTTACTATTGATTGGCCATACTTTTCTCCTTTTCTCTCTCACAACACAAAGTAGTTGAGGTTGAACAGCTGGTGTTGCAGGTGAAGTGACGGACATCAAGTTCCTTTGTCTCAACGGTACAGTGTTTGACCAGGAGACTAGAGTCTGCGAGAGGCTGGACGAAGTTGACTGTAGCAAATCCGAGAGCTTCTACGACCTAAACCTCGAGCTCTATGGAAACAACCCTGCTGGCTTTGGGTAAACATTTTGATAAAAAAAATATTTGCTTTCAATAGTTAATTTTTGTAGCTACCGTTCACGAAAAGGAAGGGGGAGAGAAAACTCCAGTTGACAGATCAGTGTTGAGCATTCTAAATCTCATAATGATAATGACAATAATAATAATACAATCACTCCTTCTCTGTGCTTACCCTCCTCTAACACAACGCCATGGTGAACAATATGTGGCAATGCCACACTCGCCAACCTATTGCCATGGTAATGACAGTAATAACAAACGTGTAAACTTTAACATGGTACAGACAATCCATACAAATTAGTGCAACGCCTGTTTTGGTGGGCCGGTCAAAACTATGTTTTTTTCAATTTTTTCTCGCCAGGGCCTTGTATTAGAGAGGCTCACAGTGCCATAGTCACAATGAATCTGTTTACCATTCAGATAAGGAACTGTGAGGATACTAATTTTTAAATCTAAATTAAAGGCAATTTTACAATGTATCAATTTGGTTTCATACACTAACTGTTATTATGAGTAAATAACAGAAAGTATAAGTCTCATATTAAACAATTTAATTTGATTTGTAGGATACAACCGGAGAGTGAGGATGTTCCAGAAACTCTCTGTGAAGAAGAGGAGGAGGAAGAGTGTAAAACAGAGAAACCAGAGGGTCTAGTGAAGACTCCCACTGAACAAGCCCAAGTGTCAAGTGTTGAGAAGGAGGAGGAAACTACAACTCAGCCTTCGTCATCCTCCACAACATCCCGGAGACCTGTGACTTCTACGAGCTTCCCCAGCACAACTCCAACACCGCAGATCCTCCAGTTCCCCTCCAGCTCACCAGAGACCATCGCAGCATTGCTCGCTCTGCACAACGCATTCACTCAGAGTCTTCAGCAGCACGCAAACAGCAAGGATAAAATCAATCCTCCAAAGATCACAGGATTTGTCGAATCACTAAATAGAGAAAAGGCTACACAAGAAGCACAAACATTTGAAATCAAGAATGGTCAAACTTTTTCTTCGAGAGTGCCAACACCTTTCCCTTCCAAGACACAGACACAATACGTTCCGCAGAGTTCTTCAAAGCCTCAGTTCCAAAATCCGCCTGAAACACAGTTCCAAAATCCTCAAAAGCCACAGTTTACTCCACTCAAACCACAGTTTCAGAACCCACCTAAAACTCTTTATCAAAGTCCTCCTAAAACTCAGTTTCAAAGTCAGCCTAAACCCCAATATCAACCACCTAAACCTCCAGTCACTCATCCTCCAACATTCCCCAAACTTCACACCACTTCTGAGCGATTTGGTAATTTACCTTTCAGGCACTCATTCCACATCAACAGTCAAGTTACACATTTCCATGAACCAAATTATCAAGATCAGTATTCCGATCATGAATCTCAACCGTCGTCTCAACCCCAGACTGAAGCACCAAAGCAGTACGATTTTGGTGACTATGAAGATGATTATTACGACGAAAAACCTCATTCTTCGACTATTACACCTTATTTGCTTCATCAGCTAAAGGTCAACCAAGTACAGAGTGCCAGTCAGGCTAAAGTGAGTGAATCTTCTAATCACGGTAGCTTTGTAAGAGAAGTATCTTCTTCGTCTAGTAAGCCTTTCAACGTTCCCTCGTACAGAAGTGTAACGACTCCTGAAATCGCCATCATCACAGCCACGAGTACTACGTCTTCTTCAAGTGTGAAAACAGGGAAACCTCTCCAAAGTGCCATACAGCAATTCAAGAAAAATCCAACAGGCTCAGGATACGTTGACTCTTTGTTTCAGACCTCCAATTCTAGTGATACTGAACATTACGTGACAGGTCCTCAGTCTTACGACGACTACAAGGAAGGAGATGTACGCTCAGATCCGTTCTATAAAGATGTGCCAAAAATTTCTAGGAGTAAAAGAAACATAGTGAATGATGTAGATAAAGAAAACTCAGTGACTACGGTAGACTATACATATTTAAGAAAACTAAAGGGCAAACTGTTAAATAGTATGTTCAAGTTGAATAGTGAAGACGTGTTACATGCTATTTTAGGCGAATATTGCAATAGTAAAGTTAATTCTAGTGATTTACTGTTGAATTACTGTGCGAATAACAATCATAAAAGCAGTGTTAGTGATTACAAATCCGGGGACGAATGGGAGATTGTACTACCAAAAGAAAACAAAGATTTTTTGTACTTGGTCAAAACTATTTCTAGTTCAACCGAGTCAGAAAATTCCACAAGTAATATTTTACTATTAGTTCACTTCCCAAGTGAATTCAAGTCCATCCGGGATAGTATTATTAAGGGTTTGGAAGATCAGGAACACTCTAATAAGCTATTAAAAGACGTACAAGTCAATAGCTTAAATAGTTCAATCCACCATAGATTTAAGAGGGTTAAGAGAGAAAATTTTAAGGGCGACAAAAGGAAAAGGAGTGAAATGGCAATGTGGAAAAAGTATTTGAAAAAAGTCATTCCAAAGTTAAAAAGGAGTAAAAGGCAGACACAATCAAGTCCCTCTTACAAAAGTTCTGAGGGAGGCTCGGTTAGCGGCTCGTATGACAGCCCTAGAGTGCGTCCAGTAGTAAGAGGTAGAGAAAGCCACACTCGCGAAAATCAACAAAGAAGTCGAACAGTAGTAAGGAAAAGGCCTCAGTTTGTAGAACAATCTGAAGAAACTGGGACTCAGCCAATTCATCAGAGGCCCACACAAAGAAGACTGCCTACCTCACGTACAGTACCAGTTCGACCTGTACTACCTGTAGAAGAAGAAGAAGAAATTAATGCCCAAAAAGAGTCACATACTTTTATTGTTCCTCCAAGGAGAAAACCTTCACGTCCTCAAGCACCTGCACGGTTGCCAATTGAACTTGAGGAGCAGAACTACCCTCATGAACTGCAAAATTCAAGACCTTCAGCAAATATTACTCAAAGAAGACAACCGTCACGTCCTGAAGCACCTGCACAGTTGGCAATTCAACAAGAGCAAAACTATCCTCCAGAATTTTTGCAAAATTCCAGACCAGCGAATATTCCTCAAAGAAGACAACCAAATCAACGTCTTCAGCCATCAGATTCTTTGCCAGAAACGCATGAGCCAAGTCACACTGAAGAACAATTTTCAAGACATCCGTTGAGTGATTCTTCACCAATTAGTGATAAGACTCTTGGTTCACCGTCAGCAGGTAGGAGGAAGCAAGGTACAAAGTATCACTTTTGTGAAGGCCCGCAATGTTTTAAGGGAGCAGAGAAAGAAACATTAGATGATGAGGTTGAAGTCTCTACAACGTATCCGTTCAACCTCAAACCAGGGACAACATTCAACTGCGATGATAAAATCAAGGGAGGCTACTACGCTGATGTGGAGGCTGAATGCTACGGCTACTTCATTTGCTCCCAAGGAGCTATTAATGGACCGTAAGATTAAATAATTCTTTATTCTTTCATAGTTCTAGCCCTAGTGTTAAGAGCATTAAAGTGAGGGTAAGGTTTGAAAGTTTGAAAATGGCAAAACGGCTGCCATTTGTGGGGATTGCGTATTCTTAACAATTACAAATATGAACTACTCAGATTTTGTAAAATAATGTGTTTACATTGTAACATTCCAATAATGTAAACATGTTAGGCTTATCATGTTTTATTAGCGTTTAAAACATATTGTTTGTTTAAAATTCTTTCAACATTCAAACAGTTTGAAAAAAACTAAATGCCGCTAATAATTTTCAAGTTATTCATACTATCTACTTTGATTGGTTTTTGTAAAAGCCCTTGTAGAGCTGTTATTATCGTCTTAACGTATCAACAAATCAAGATAATAAGTTTAGAATTTAAAATTGCTTGAGTGATCTTGACCAAGTAATTGTTTATTCCAAAGCCTTTTTAATGTGTATAAAGGCGTCTTTTCAACTTAATGACAAGTACAAGTTTTCTTTAATCCACCATCATTCCTGTCTCTATCAGTTAGACTGCTATCATTCTGTATTCTTTCAGGTTACTAAAGAGCCACTTCTGGTGTGGACCAACCACCAAGTTCAACCAACGCAGTCGTACGTGTCAAGCTGAAGCTAACGTCGCTTGTTCTGTGTCCCACAGATACTACCACCTCAACAAGGACATCCTTTCACTACCAGGTTCTTTACCATAATGAATTAAAAATTAATATTTGTCAAGAAATTAAGTTCCTACACTGTTGAATAAGCTTTGTGAAACTCCAAATTTCACCAAGGCCAATAGCAAAAATTTTAAATAATCACTTCAATGATATTAATTTCATAAGCAGAGTTTTTCACCAACTCCAATATACGCTAACCACTAGGACACAGACAAACAACAACAATTCCTTATAAACAACAAACAACCACACAACACATTTTCCTTAAAGGGAATAAGGTACAGCCTTAGATCTCATGGTCAGACTTTTAGCTTTGGAACCAATTTATTTTTTTTCATTTTGATGTATCTCGAGGCCATAAACACTATATGTCACACAACCAGAGCTTGAACATACAAAGTAAGGTATATTACATAGCTAATAGCCATTGGTAATTAGAGAGTTTTGAAGATGAGCCTCCAATACAGAAGTGTCACTCACAACTACTAAACCAGCTGTGTCTCCTACTAATGACAATGCAAGACTATATTCAGTGGCGTAACAGAAGGTCCGCAGGGCCCGCGATGCGGGGGGGGGGGGGGAGCTGAGGGGGCCCGCGAACCGGTGAACGGGAAACGGTGAGCAGAGAGGCACATGAAAAATCATCATTCGAGTGGGACCGAAAAATTTGAGTTCATTCTTATTTAAATGTAATATCAATCATTTAATAATTAATTGTATTGAACAAGTAATAACATTGATGTTATTAATAATATGTTGTTATCAGTTATCGTCTAATTTCGATAGGCCTCTTCAGTGATAACGAACTAGGGTAAAAAATTTAACGTGTTATAACAAGGGTCTTTGATTATTATGCAATCTTACTTTCGTCACCGAGAAATATTTTACTTCTCGGTGATTTTGTACACTGCTTATGTTGTCTGTAAACATTTTGTTACTTTGGAGCCTGGAGTCATGAACGTTGGCTGGGGCTTTTAATATTGTATTATTTAACATTTTAGTTTTGTCATAATATTGATTGTATTTTGTTAAATACAATATACTGCTACTATACTGACTGTTTTTGTTAGCCCATATATTATTTAACCTCACAATTAACCAATACTAAAGACATTTGTTGTAAGATAAACGCATACAAAGACATACAAAGATAAAATAACAAATGCAATAGGCTATTTTAGCCTGTGATAAAAGTACGCCAATCTATTAAATTAACCAGCTTTTAGTGTATGAGTTAATTATAACCAAAGATTTAACTAACCTAATAAATTAATACTTTCTCATCCTTCACCCATATTTGGGTTAAAATACGCACATAGTGGCGTCCCCATCTTAAATAATTGATCGATTGGCCTTAATAACTTACTTTAAAATTGGCGACCATACCAATGTAGGTATTTTAAGCCAAGAATTAATGGAGATGAGTGTAGGATGAGTGACCAAACCTTTTAGTTTTGAAAGGGACCAAGTCCGACATATTCCTTAAGGCATAGATGTTAATTAATAGCCAATACAGCAAAAGGCAACTAAGGGGACTAAGGGGGTTAATATGGGAATTCAAACCACATTTTTGCCTTGTAATTTACGAATTAGTCTAATTATCAGGGTAATAAAAATGGATAGCCTAACATGTGTGATAAATTAAATGTAAAATTTTTAACCTCCTTGATAACGGGTGACTGCCGGGAACCGGACAAATTTGCAACAGCTGTTACGTTGTTGCTACACGTGCTAGGGAGATTGAGGTTATGTCATTGTTTTGAGTGAGCTTTACCATTTTAGTCACGATGGATCAGTGGTCAGTTCAGCATCGTGTTTTTTGCATATGATACATTTATTAAAAATGGCGAATCCGTTATCAAAACACAGCGTATCTTCCGACACCCCTTTAATATTGCTCGAAATGACACGGTTCCGGCCTTGTTCCAACCCGGAATACATTGCTAAGATGGGTGCACAAGTTCAGAACAACAGGAACAGTATCAAAGAAAAAGCCACCCGGTCCTGCAAGAACAGTGAGAACACCAGACAACATCGCCACAGTGAGAACTGATTTGATGAGGAGCCCGGGTCGCTCTGCACGAAGACACGCACAAGAGCTACGCATGAAGCGCGATTCTGTCAGAATAATTTTAAATTCAGATTTGAAATTTCATCCCTACAAAATACAGGTGGTACAGCAACTGAAAGAGAGGGACTATGGACAAAGAGAAGATTTCGCAGTACGTATGCAGGTGTTGTTTACTGATAATCCTGATGTAATGATGTTAATAAGCGACGAAGCTCACTTCCACTTAAATGGTTCAGTGAACAAACAAAACTTACAATATTGGGCTCCTGAAAATCCATGTAACTTTCATGAAAAACCACTCCACTCTCCAAAAGTAACGGTTTGGTGTGCTGTAGGCCACTTTGGGATAATTGGTCCGTATTTTTTTGAGGAAAATGGAGTCACAGTGACAGTGAATTCTGCACGCTATGTTCACATGTTGGAAACATATCTCAAGCCACAACTTCGGAGGCGAGGAATAAATGTGAAAAATGTTTACTTCCAACAAGATGACGCCACAGCGCATACTGCCGCTGCATCGATGCGAGTTGTGAAGAAGATGTTCCCTGGCAAGTTGATTTCACGTTTTGGTGACGTGCCGTGGCCGCCGAGGTCACCAGATTTGTCGCCCTGTGACTATTTCTTATGGGGATATTTGAAAGCTCTTGTCTATGTTCACAAACCACAAACATTATTGCAGCTAAAAGATGCAATCACCGAAGAGGTGAATTTGATTGAACAAGACATATTGATGAGAGTGCGTAATGATTTTCTCCAGAGGTTGGAAACCTGTATCCAGGTTAACGGCCATCACATGCATGATATCTTTAAGAAATAAACCCAAACTAGGATAAAAGGTTCCATGAAACATATGTTTTTTGAAATGGTATGTTTTCACCAATATATATTCAACAATTAAATAATTTTACTATATAAAATAAGGTTGTAATATTCATTTAAAAAACGTCCGGTTCCCGACAGTCACCCCTGTATAAACATTCTGATAGATAGATGGAAAATAAGGTTTTTTAATTTGATTTCAAAACTATTTACAAACAATAATATTGATATATAGTGATGTAGTGATGTAACACTTTCATCAAACCACGACTGAAATACTTAACACACCCTTTTATGGAACATAACCCATATTTTAATATTTTAATTTGTAATTTAATATTTTTTTCATAATTTATTTACCACTTTTTTTATGATTAATCTGTTTGATCATTGTATCGGTGGTTTAAAAATAACTCTGGGGGGAGGAGAAGGGCATTTGATTATGTTGTGGTGGTCTAAAAATAACTCATGTGAGGGGGGCCCAAAAAATAAGTTTGCAGTGGGGCCCGTACAAATTTGTTACGCCACTGACTATATTAACTTCCAAGACACATGTGAAAGCTGGATAAGTGATATCTTTGGCCTGGGAATCACTAAATGTTCTTAAGCATTGAAAGAACACTTACCATAAGCATTTAAGGGAATATTTTCTTTTCATTCATCAATATCTATAGTCTTAAAGTTATTTATTCACATTCTGGTTATTTACTTTAACATTGTTTCCAGATCCTGACGACCTTGTAAGGGATTCCTTTGAGCCATCAAAGGTCAAGTCATGATCTTCAGATTCACCGAGTACCTATTCTTAGAATATAATATTGTTAAGGTTGATAATTCTACTCTATTATAATGTAAATGTGGCACAGAGCTAATTTGAAAAATCAAACAGTTAACCCCAAGCTCACTTTTAAAAAACTATTTTTTCAAAGCTATTGTTTAAAAAGTTTAAATGTCGTATTCAATGCATAACACCATAGACAAAAAGAATGAAATATAGACTGTCAGCCGTGCTGTGGTTACCATGGTTACCATAGGTTCCGGCGCACACCGCTGTAGTTTACGTAGCGCGTACGCCGTAACTACCGTGGCGCTCCCAGCGGTGTGCGCCAGAACCTATGGTAACCGCAGCACAGCTGACGGTCTATATTTCATTCTTTTTGTCTATGATAACACTGACCATCCCTTGTGCTGAGTAAATTGTAAACATGGGTTGTAAACAATCTGTACAAAAGCGGGAATATCAAAATTTGAATATAAACCTTAACTTTAATTGCAAGTCTTGCCACCAGATTTATCAGTTTTCTATTCACTCCCCGCAAACCGACTGAGCTCTTGTCATAGTGAATAATTTATTTGCTCATTTGTCCTTTTGTATTCAGCTTTACCTGCGTACATGTGGATTTTGTTTATTATTATGTGTATATTAATGAATGTTAAGAATGAGTGATTAGTTTATGTATTCTATATTCTGTTCCAAGTCTGGATTAAAAAAGAAAAACCTATTTCATTACTCTGTATATACTTATGAAGCAAAGAATGTACTTATATTGTACTAAAAGTTTAAAATATGTTTGTAAGCAAAAATATGAGTTTATATTATTATCTATCAACTGTAAAGAAAATTATAAGTCACACAATTTACTTAGGTACTCTTAATTTTTACTGAGGAATATATATTTTTAAATTTTATACTTAAAGTTGGATTAATTGTGAGAATATAATCTGTGATTGTTGTGTTTATTGATAGATTTTGTATCATTACTTTGTATCTATAGTTTGTACATGTGTATAGTATTGATATTGATAGGAAAACTGACTACCAGTAGTTAAATTACAAAAATGAATGTTAGTTTTCTAAGATGTAAATAAATATATCATTTCAGCAAGGTGTTTAATATTTTTCTGTTTTTAAGCTCCTTAATTACTTCAAAATATCAACTAAATAAGTGGGAATTTGAACTAAAAGTATAAAAATAAGTTTGCAGTGTCCAGCAGGGCTATAGGTACCTTTTTCTTTTACAATAGACTGTGGATACTTAAAGTTGACATTTTATCCTATTGTAATGCCTGAAGCCTGTTTTGATTTGTTTTTGTACCATGTTGCTATCTTGTGCTCTATGATGAAAACCAAATAAATTGTGTTTTTCTTTGTTAAGGTTAAGTTTAACACAGTGGCATTTACTCTTTGGGATGGGCATTTATCAGAGAATAACCAAGAATTTAATAATATATATGGTTTACTTATTTAAAGCAGTAGGAATGTAAATAAACTAGGTGGCGTTCGCAGAGGCATCCACAAAATTGAGCGGAGTCATCAAGGGTTCATATTATATTGTTTTTGTCATACTGCAGTGAAAACAGTCGTTTTTAATACATGCGTTGCTGGTCTAAAGTAGCATTTTTACTCTTTAGGGAAAAATCGTTTTTAGCCTCTATGGAGTAAAAATGGGCTGTTGTCAACTCAGTTGTAAATTTATATTGTAAACGATTGCATGTATCGATTCATGCTTCGTAATCATTTTAACCTACAGTCTACAGTCTCTTCCCATAGCATTTTAGCTTTGCAGATACATTAATCCATTCCCACACTCAAAACTGCTCACCTTTACTACTTGCTTCACCACCCCCTACGTCGTGGACATGATTCCCTCTCTTCTCATAGCATTTTTGGATTGCAGATACATTAATGTAATTGCCAAAGACAGTTCCCACACTCTGCACTGCAAGCCTTACTACTTCCTTCACCACTTCCTACATCGTAGGGCCTGTTTCCTTCCCTTCTCATAGCATTTAAGTATTAAATACATTTATCTTACTGCCCAAACGGTTCCCCCACTCTGCATTGCCAGCCTTTACTACTTCCTTCACCACTTCCTACGTCGTGGGCCTGTTTCCTTTCCTTCTCAAAGCATTTTAGGATTAAATATACATTAATCTAACTTCCTACATCGTGGACTTGTTTTCATCACTTTCCATTACATTTTAGTATTTGAAATACGTTAATTTAATTTCCACAAACATTCCCCTAACTCCACACTGCTAGCCTTTACTGATTCATTCACAATTTTCTATGACGAGGTGTTTAGTTCCCACACTCCTGACTGCTCGCCTTGACTACTTCCTTCACCACTTCCTACGTCTCGGACCTGTTTCCCTTCTTTCCCATAGCATTTAGGCTTGCAGATCCCTTAATCTAATCGTCATAAACAGTTCCCAAACTCCGGACTGCTCGCATTTACTACTTCCTTCACTATTTCCTACGTCACGGACCTGTTTCCCTCCCTTCCCATAGCATTTTAGGATTGCAGATACCTTAAACTAATCGTCATAAAAAGTTCCCACTCTCCGGACTGTTCTCCTTTACTACTTCCTTCACCACTTCCTACGTCACAGACCTCTGTTTCCCTCCCTTCCCTTAGCATTATTGGATTGCAAATACCTTAATCTATTGGTCATAAACATATCCCACACTCCGAACAACTCGCCTTTGCTACTTCCTTCACCCCTTCTTACGTCACGAACCTGTTTTCCTCCCTTTCCATATCATTTTAGGATTGCAGATACCATGATCTAATCGTCATAAACAGTTCCTACACTCCGGACAGCTCGCCTTGACTACTTCCTTCACCACTTCCTACGTCACGGACCTGTTTCCCTCCCTTCCCATAGCATTTTAAGATTGTAGATACATTATTCTAATCGTCATAAACAGTTTCCACATTCCGGGCAGCTCGCATTTACTACTTCCTTCACTATTTCCTACGTCACGGACCTGTTTCCCTCCCTTCCCTTAGCATTATTGGATTGCAAATACCTTAATCTATTGGTCATAAACAGATCCCACACTCCGAACAACTCGCCTTTGCTACTTCCTTCACCCCTTCTTACGTCACGAACCTGTTTTCCTCCCTTTCCATATCATTTTAGGATTGCAGATACCATGATCTAATCGTCATAAACAGTTCCTACACTCCGGACAGCTCGCCTTGACTACTTCCTTCACCACTTCCTACGTCACGGACCTGTTTCCCTCCCTTCCCATAGCATTTTAAGATTGTAGATACATTATTCTAATCGTCATAAACAGTTTCCACATTCCGGGCAGCTCGCCTTGGCTACTTCCTTCACCACTTCCTACATCGCGGACCTGTTTTCCTCCCTTCCCATAGCATTTTAGAATTGCAGATACCTTAATCTAATCGTCACAAACAGTTCCCACAGTCCTGCTTGCCTTTACTACTTCCTTCACCACTTCCTACGTCACGGACCTGTTTCTCTCCCTTCCCATAGCATCATAGGATTGCAAATATCATAATCTAATGGTCATAAACAGATCCCATTCCCCAAACAGCTTGTCTTTACTCCTCTTCCTTCACCACTTTCTACGTCGGGGACCTGTTTCCTTCCCTTCCAATAGCATTTTAGGATTGTAGATACCTTAATCTAATCGTCATAAACAGTTCCCACACTCCTGACTGCTCGCCTTGACTACTTCCTTCACCACTTCCTACGCCGCGGACCCGTTTTCCTCCCTTCCCATAGAATTTTAGGAATGCAGATACCTAAATCTAATCGTCATAAACAGTGTCCACACTCCAGACTGCTCCCCCCCCCCCCCCCCCACACTGCACATCCTTCATCACTTCCTACGTCACGGACCTCAAGCTAGTGTCGTCATTTGAGTATATTTATGATCCATACCGTTTCTGTTCCAATATCTGTGAAATAATGCTATCAGCTATTTCTTTATCTACTGCATTCAAAAGTCAACAGCTGATCATATGTCTTTGTTTATGTGTCAAATACTGCTTCCATAAGGATTACATTGAAACTTTGAGACCCAGTGGGGCGGATTCCTGAGGGACTTTTTTAATGCCATATAGATGTTGGCACTCACCGATATGGTCTTTATCACCATGCAAAATTTGAAAACGATTGATTCAGCCGTCTAGGAGGAGTTTGCGTATTACGAAATGCATAAGAGTCGACGTATAAGAGCTTCGCTCGCTCCGCTCAATAATTAATATTTTACAATATGATGAAGAGGTGACAATATGAAAACAATTGACCATCCCAGTGGTTTTAGATCACTTTGGCTAGCTACAAAACTGGTCAGCTTTTTGTTGATTTAATGAATTCTATTTATTCTACTATCAAATTCATATACAAGAAAGATTATTTTGTCCAGGAGTCATGCAAAGAAAAACAACTACACAAAAGAACTTGGTTATTTATATCTAGGGAATTATTCTACAGTATATTTTTGAGTAGACATAATTAGAAAATAATATCATACAAGTAATAAGATAGTACCGGTAATCATTGTTATACATAATCATAATTTTTTTCAGTTAATGGCCAAATGACTAATTTGAAGTATGGAGTACAGAATATTTTAAACGCAAAGAATAGGCTACCAACAGCATTGGTGTAGTGGGGCGGAACTGTGTTTCCACTCTGCTTTTCCAAAGAACCTATATATTGATAAGCAACCAGTATCTCTTTGGGACATTGGTCAGCACTGGGAAATTTACGGCTACACCATGACCAACAGGAACATTTCTATAATTAGTGGACTGCTTAAAGTCATCCTAAATAAAATATATAAACACCTGCATGAAAATTAGCAACATAGTATCATGTTTCAGTAGATCATTTTAAAACATTTACTACATGAATGACACTGTGATTTTAAAACCAAACATCCAAAATTATTTTTAAATAAAATTTATGCTTAATAATTTAGGTGTTTACAAGTTGCCTAAAAAGAAGTGTTAACTATTATTATTAATAACATGTTCTAAGAGGTAACACAGAACACAGACTATGTTGTATGCTAAACAATGGACATTTTCTAATAAAGGCACAATATTATCAGGCCAGGGTTTAGAGTGAATATGGAGACCTTGATTATTCATGGGCAATACTTGAATATTGATCTATTTGGTTGTCATTTTATTTGACATCAATATACCAAAGTATTTCTGAGATAAAATATATTCAGCCATTCATATAAGGTAATTAATATCAAGATAATTATAATCTATAAGAAGGTACCATATGTTAATTTGTGGTTTTACTTTATATATATATTTATACATAAAACACAATAAGTTCATATTGTCAGTATCTTAACAACACACAATATATGTAAAATACAGCCAGTATCAATGTAATAAAAATATCATTATCATATTTAGCATCACTATAACTACATCAGACTTGGAGGAATGCAATTTCTAGCGACAAGTGTGGATTTAATCATCCTCTAATTTCAACTCATTCAATTTCTCCAACTTCCATTCCTTTCCTAAAAAAAATACTTAACTCAAGCGCTCATACTGTTTAATAAAATTGTAATAATTTGTATCTGGAATTGGTTTTACAGTAAAGTATAAATGCCTTTACAGTACAAAACTCTTATGTCACTAACTAGTATAGCACAATTAAACTTGTTAATAAAACGTGTAAAAGTGCTTACGAATACTACTTAAATCAAATACAAAATATAAAACTATTTCTATAAATCTGACCAAATTCAAAACTGGCATTTCACAAATGTCTCACTTACTTCACAACTTTTTCACTCAAACCGAGTGATAATGTTCCACTAGTTGGAGGTAATTCACAGTTAAGGATTAACCATCTCCTCTTTATAAGGATATCTCAGATGGTACAAACTCAGCTGGAGAAGTGTTCATTGTTAGTCTCCTCCTAGGGTGTCGTCTGCTCCAGTCACCTGTGTGAGTTTCTCAGAGTCAGCTGTTTCAGACCCTCCTGGGTCAGTGATGACTTCGTTTTCTGTTGCTTGGACAAAAACATTCCCAGGGATTGGCTCGTAAGGATTTCTGAAACAAATATAATCTTTTAGTTAAGCATTTAAATGTCTTGATCTGAACATTTTTTAATCCATGCAAATCAATTTGTACTTATTTCTCTTTGTGTGGATCCCATTTCCTTTAGGGGTGTCCTGGTTTCTGTAAGGTCTGCTGCAAAACCCTTTCTAAAAATTAGAAATTAATCTTCGCACAACTGACACATGTCTAAGATTTTGCTTTGGTGGTATTAAATAAGGCAATTTCACTAGCCTTTCTTTTCAAGATTATTGGTTTCATAATAATAATGTTACTAAGATTATTTGTGTTTATTATCTAACTATGTAAGCTCTTATTCTGCTCTTGTTTGTTTGCAACACTAATCAAACCAACTCCCTTTGATTTTTTAATCTTTATTACAACTAACTATACTGTCATAAACCTAGAAACAACCATAGAGTAAAAATATGAGTTAATAAAAATGTCACTAAATAGATAGTAACATCAAATCAGTGTACTTCGAGGACTACATTTTTTAATTAAAAGAGAACAGATTCACATATTATAATGTAGATTTTTATAGTTTGCAGTAGATTTTTATAGTTTGAAAATACAATATTGAAGTTGACAAGCCGAGTGTAAATTCAACATTATTAACTAATTATCTTGCTTGTGCCTTTATGATTTGCCAGGTATTAACAAACAGATATTACAACTTATTTAATCTCTAATAGTTGTAACAAAATTAAGTAAAGGATATTACTGTAGCAGCAGTAACATGTCATGGAAACGAGGACAAATCATAGCTTACAAAGGTGTAGCATAAAAACAATTCGTGCTAGCTTTTTAGATGCAATGTTACAGTTTTAACTTTTTACCATAAAAGTAGTTGAAACACATGCAACAACAATGCAATTCAAACTCAGATTTACATCACAAATATTTTCAAAAATAACTAAAATTATTACAAAAAGGATTTTACAAAATTCTAAATGTTTCTAACTTTAATACAGGGCCTGGCTCCCGTATTTCAAAAGGTAATATAAGCAAAAAAAAATATAGACAAAAAATATACTTTTATTTATGAAGTGCCAATAATATGTCATTTTACACGATTCAGTTTTGGAAATTATCTGGTAAATGGCATCGTCCATTCTTGACACATTGACAAAGCCTTTTCTGGGAGTTTTCCATTGTTTGCCGTATCATTTCTAGTAGAATGGCAGCCACTGCTTGAGTGATTGCATCCTAAAGAGCTTTGAAGGTTTGTGGGGCAAATGACCTAGTGGGCCAGTTGATCTATCCTCTCAAAGAGATAAGACATCCAGGAATAACTCTCTCAAAATTGCTACATAACGCTGTTCAGTGTGTGCTATGGCTGTCTTGTTAAAATCAGATTTCTCGCTTTTCACTTTCATCAACAATTTGGCTTAATTTCAGCTCTTGATCATTTAACAGTAGCAAATTGAGTTGACTGGTGCCGTTATCTCATCTTCTTCAATATGGACGCTAAACATAAAATTCAGTAATTGCACACTAAACTGTCACACGGGAGCTGTACAGTGGTCATTCCTGCAGCCGAGTATCGGAAATTTTGTTTATTGTACCTGGCAAGTGGAAGTAGGCCTTATCAGACAAAAACAAACCAGCACTTTAGGGTAAATTATGAAGTGTACCCGCACGCAGCTCTGCAAATTTGTAAATCTCCCTCACTTATTTAAGTAACCATAATCTTGTACAGGTGCATTTTAAGATATCAATGTAGGATTTTGTAACACTCCTTGGGCAGGTGCGTGTTTGGTTGCCGAACGTTTTGTTGGTTGCTGGATGGACGCTCTAACTCGGCGCTCTCACATTTTCTGGGTCGTTACAGCCAGACGCTTTCCGTTTTGATGCAGAACTTGTTGCACAAAGTTGAAGAGTTTTCCTATTAGAAACAGAGTTGTTTCGGCCAAGTTCAAACCGAATGCAAAACGCTCGCTGAGTAGTAATCACTGGACCAACATTAAAAATAAACTCACATTAACCACTTGATGCTCACAATCCCACGCCATTGTTACTAACTACTGAAAATGACACTTATCACAGCTGTCTAGATGTCTTCTCCACATCCATATCCCTATACTACCTATACAAAAATACACACAGCTGACAACCTTAAATACGGGAGGTCTTTTTACTCGAGTATGAAGTAAGATCAATAGACTGTTACTTTTGGGATAAAACAAGTTTTGAATAATTTATGTTTACCTGCCATTGCTACATCTGTATGGTTTGCCAGGTTTCTAAGTTTCAAAAGCAAAGACAGCAATGATGGTATTAAAATGAGCAAGCCAGAAGGAACCCTTAAAATATACCTTGGGCTCAACACACTAGAAGTTCACATTTTTTTACCAACATTGTCTAGATATAATACAGCTGAATGTATTCACTAGACAATCCATGTTTTATTGTCTCCTTCCATTCAGGAAACAATCTCTTAAAATATTTGCTCCGGTTATATTGATTGATAACCAGTATCCTCACAATCAAGGCCATGTATACAAGTGACTTCAGACAGGACCTCTATAACTGATTACCAATAAACAAAACCAACTCAACCAAAACTTTTATCCGTCTAATCTCAGGTAGAACCTAAGAGCTCACAAAAGAACTGGAGAAAGCAATTAAATCTTACTTAGCTTGAATCTGATTTTAAAACAAGTATGATAAGACTATAGCAATAATTTGACTCCAAAGACAGAATTTAGTATGCCGAATAAGAGCCACTAATCTTCTACAATATTCTATGAAAGATATGATACGTTGGTTGCAAAAAATATAAGACCTTAGATGTAATCCATGCATCTGCGTTGGCTAGATGAATTTCACTTACCACAATTTACAATTCTAGGTAGCTTTTGGCCTGAATGATGAGGTATATTAGACATTGTTGCAATAAGGATGATAAGGTGATGCAAAAATAATCAATAGATTTATCATTGAAACTCTTTATTGTTTAATTATTACATCATACATTAATCATCATACATCAGATGTATTTTATACTTAACCCTACAGCAATAAGATTATTACCTTAGTTTGATGTTTTTTAAGTCATTGTTCAATATTTTTTAAGTTTGTATGATTGATTTAGGCCTAATTTTTTTAAGTTAGATTGTAGAAAATTTGGTTTTCATTCCTTCTTTGTAAAGCATCCCAAAGTTGGAAAATGTCCATATCAATTCATAATTTTTACACAGTACCAATTCTTTTCACTGGCCATACGAATACCTTAAGCTTTCTGTGAATTCATTTAGACTGTGCTAATTCCACATTCGAATGAATGACGTGAAAATTGAATGGCCAGATCGTAAATTTATCTTAATATAAACTATTCCCACAAATTTTATTTTCTTTACATTATTTTTTATTCAGTGAAGGTTAACATTTGAATTACTTTATAAGTTTAGATTATTTTTATTTCTAACTCTCTGGTCGATATTTTAGTCAACATACCAACTAGGAGTATACAATCAAGCTAAAGTCTATTGCAAATCATATCACTGACACCTCAAGTATTGTAAGTTTCCTCCTCAATAATAAAGTGAGGCAGATCAATGTATAAACTGAGCCCCTTTTTGTTTGGTTGGTAAAGGCAACCATCAAAGTAGTCGAGATGTCCTCTGGAACAGTTATTTCATAAGTTAGACTCTTGAATCACTCCCTGGCTATGTACAGATGTTGAGTTTATGTCCAACATTGTAAGCAGCTGTTTGTTTTACACCATCACCTCTTCTCAACACTCTTCACAAACTGCAGTAACTCAAGCGTAAAACTCAACCAGTAACCGCAAACACCTTAGCACAGCAAAAAACAAGTTTGGTATGTTTTGGAGATTTAAAAAGTGATACTGGAGCACTTCAGCACTGTCAGTTCTATTCTTTTTGTGTGATAAGCAAGATTTAGTTGTGAAAACTCTCAAAGTGTGTAAAAGAAATACAAATTGAAGGCCTGATATTTTAACATCCCTCCAATACTAATTCTTGTAGATCAAGTCATTCACACTTATTACGACAGGCACAACTCTGCAAATCTGAGGCTGAGGTACTGCTCCAAAATTCCCCTAACAGTGAGTGGACAAGCAATAACACTTTCGGCTTGAGGAATGAGGAGGAGAAACCTCAATCCCCTTTCCTAGTCTTGTCCCTGTATATTCTTCTCCGAAGTGAGTGTGGCAGTTAGCTGCAACTACGTGAATTTCACCACTTCAGATAATAATGTCATTATAACATAATTTTCGTAAGTTTGGCACATAAGGTAAGTACGGTAGTTAGGGTCTTGCATTCAGAATATTTCTAATGATAATTTAACTTGTATACCTAACTGGGGTTTTTTTTTTGTACTAGGACGCTAGGCACGAGCCCGGAATCGTTTTTCACATTACTTCAGGCTAGGGGTTACGGCATTATCACTTAGATAAAATCCATTGGTGATTTGAACCCGGGGCCCCAGAAACCAGAGTCCCACGCTTTAACCACTAGACCACCTCACTCCCCCTACCTAACTGGGAGTAAAGCTACCTCTAACGACAGGAATTCATTTTTATACCACTTTTTGTAGAGGTAGTAACTGTAGTTACTTGTGTAATCATTTACTTTCTCTGCTTTTAATAATTAATCTTTGTGAAACTTTGTGTTAACCGTATGAAATGTAAAACAAAATGTGTAATCCAGATAGGTACCTACCTAAATAATTAATTTGTAAATGAAATTACATAACAAAGTTAAAGAGAGTTACTAGGAGGAAAAATGTACATTTAGTGGGTTTTCATTGTAAATTCACAGTAACTTCAAGTTTTTTTTCCCAGAACGCTAGGCACGAGCCTGGGATTGTTTTTCACATTACTTTAGGCTAGACCTAGTGGTTGCGGCATTATCACTTAGATAAAATCCATTGGTGACTTGGCGGGGATAGAACCCGGGATCTCAGGGATTGAAGTCCCGCCACTCTAACCACTACGCCAGCTCGCTCCCCAGTAACTTTTAAGTAATAAGATAGCCGTAATAACCACATAAAGTAAAATACGATCAATTGTACATCAATTCATAATTTTGTAATAGTAATTATTTTTTGAGAACCAAAAGAATGCACTCTGAAAAAATGTGACAAGAAGACACTGCTCGGAAAAAAATGTATTTATTGAATTTCATTACATAGATCAGCATCTTAACATGTAGCTGGTTTAACTCATGCAATGGTCATACTAATGTAGGTCAGATATCCCACACTTGCCATGTTTGGTTTGTTTAAGACTGGAAACAAACTTCATTAACATTTAAAATTAGTAAATAAAATTTACATTGACTAACACTTACACTGATGCACATCTGTTATCAGATACAAATCAAGATCATTTTAATAAATTATCAGTCAACATTCTGGCTTGCCTATTATAACTTCGACGTAATAAGTATCTACAACATTTCTTCACGAGTTTTTTATTATCAACAAAATTTATCTAAATAGTAAATTATTTTCACAACACATATCTATCAACAACACCTGACTTATAGCGTCCACAGTACCTTGGTAGAGAGGGAGAAAATAAAATAGTTGGGTGGTTCCTAAAATATTTGGTAAAATATGTTTTGATAAATACATTAGTCGGTGGATTTTTTATTAAAAGAGAAACATTACCGAGACTTTTGAGGATCATTAATGTGGATCATACTGTTTATAAATAACAATTTGTGAGACATTTACAAAGGATCAAACATAAAATATGATTATTGATTCAGTTAGACATTCCATCTTTATGTCAAAGATGTAATCAGTTTTTTAATAAAAAAAGACATAATTCAATTGAGCGACTGACGGAGTGTACTGATGTAAATTACTAACTTCTGTCAAATCATAGACAAAAGAATTAAATATAGACCGACAGCAATGCTGCAGTTAGCATATGTTCTGGCGTCCACCGCTAGGAGTGCCATGTAGTTACAGCGCACACCGCTGCAGCGCATGTGTGGTAGTGCTGGTGACAGACGGCAAGGAGCTGACAACTGCAGCGAATCTAACACCGAGCACACTCTAGCGGCCACATCGCAGAACCTTTCTTTGACAGTCTATATTTTATTACATTTGTCTATGGTCAAATACACCAACTTTCTAACCAAGCTTATAGGACAAATTATTGTAAGTTATAGATTCTTTGTCACTCCAGCTATCTGAGAAACAGAAGAAAGAAAATATGATCTGAGACTGTAGCACACTCGGTGAGTTATATCTTTGTAAATATCTGGAAAAAGATAATAGCAACAGATGTAAAGAAACTAAGAAGGTATAAACAAAAAACAATACTACCTACCTTCTGCAGCCATCATGCAGTTTATCATATTTACAAAAAAAGAAAAAAACAGAAGATACAGAAAAGTTTTAAGTTATACAAAAATGTTACGATTAAACTAGTTCTCACTCAACAAACTCAAAAAAAAATCACAAAGCTTGAGGGAAAAGAAGAGCCATGGAGAAAAATAAAATATATTTACAAAAGCTTTAACTTTACAATCTATCTAAATAACAATGATTAGGAGCATAACAACTTGGTGATCACAGATTCCGATGCTACTTATGTTTATTTCTGGGCTTACCATTGACTATGTACACTCTACACAACACAAGTAGCAAGTCCAGTTAGATACTCTTAGATTAAAAATTATAATACAAATTGTTACGTTAAACAAGTGCTAGAAGTAGAAAAGCTAATATTGTGACTGACTCGACATAACAGGAAGGAAAGAAATTTAGTAAAAGGTGCTGCGAACAAACCTTTTAAGGCTTATGCAATTCAGTGTTAATTTGTCAAACAAATGTAAACTATACCAAGAAATATGAAAAATAATAGATATATTAATCTAGGGGTCTAATGCTAGTAATCTAGGATTAGCTGTTATGGCAATATATTTTATTTGTCTTATAGCATAGTGTACACAGTCAATGTTTTAACTTATCAGCCCTAGATTTTAAACACAACACAAAAGAGAGAAATGTAAAACAGTAAAACTATGTTAAGTTAAATCATGTGTGACTTCTTTATTTATTTTTTGTTTATTCGATACATAAAATGTTTCACAATACCTAAAAAGTAAAAAAAACACTATCTTTAACATCATCTTTCTACAAAAAAGTCATAAGTGTCTTTTAATTGATTTTAAATTATGTAATAAAGTAATACTGTTTTTAGTCAACTTTGAATAAACTATTTATAGCTAAAACTTAATGTACCACTTATATCACAGATATTTATATTTTGACAAATATTATTACTAACAGTAAAAAATCTCATTAAACTTACAGTTATACCCAAAAGGAAGAGCTGTTTTGACAAAGGTAAATACTGTTAACGTGTTTTTTTTGTCTTTTTTACATTTAAATATTTACCTGTTATTGTCTGTGATATTAACTTAAACAACAAAGACAAAAAAGGATTCCTGAACGAATTTAGAACTTGAACTTGCCTATTAGGTAAACGATATGGACTAAAACTTTAAAAATACATGGTGAGCAAAGATAATATATAAACTTTAGTATATCTAGAAGTAAACATGAAAAAGAGTTTAAATAATACTGTACTGGAAAATGTTGAAAGTGCCATTGTATAAGGCAGAAAACTGTAACACTCAGCTTGATGTTATTATGTAATTGTAATTTCTTTTTTTTTTCTTGTAAAGATGTCTTCTGTCCAACTGGTAGCATTTCTTCTAAATGTTAAAATCGTTTACTATCATACCCTAAATGTCAAATCATATTCATTGGAAGAATTTCTGTGGAAAACCATAATGCAAAGTATTAGAATATCTCAGATATAAAAATTCAAAAATGCAAACTAAGAAGATTAGTAAACAATGCAGACACTACAAAAGAAAGCAAAATGCAACAACAACAAACAAAAACAAGAAACCCCTTGTTAGTTCTCACTATACAATAACCAATGGAATTGTTACTACTAAAAAAAAATAAGTGAAATACTGTACACAACTTTTAATAACATTACTACTTAAAACATAGCTTTTCAATTTTTTTACATGGTGAAGAAATAAACTTAATAATTTAGTTTTTTGTTTAGCAGTATCCCTGAAAATTATAAAACTCATTTATGAGGTAATTAGATTTTAACTTGTAAATTGACTAGACAGTGGACCTAATAAAAAATTGCATAATATCTACGCAAACATAAAAAAAATTATTTCTATATTATAATATGAGCAAGATTGTGGGAGTTTGAAAAAAAAACAAAAAAAAACTAAAACCGAAGAAAAATGAATTGTAGAGTTTAAATACTCCTGCTGTTTTAAGCTTGACAATATAATTGAACGTGAATTAAGATAAAATAGTATTGATAAAATGTGCACAGTAAGCTTTTCACACGTGAAATATTAATTGAACAAAAATTATATTAACCTTTGTAATTATTTTATAAAATCGCCGCAACCAAGAAACTGGTAAACTCCAGACACTTGTCTTCGAGCCGGTTGAAAAATATTTCACTTGATATTGCCTGTCCACACTACCTATTGCCAGGGTGAGAATTGAAATAAATGTAGAGACTTTTTTTCCGTAGCTAAATAGTAAGTAGTAAGTTCCATAGAATAATTTGACCTATAAAACGGTTTTATATAATTAGGTTTGTTTAACTAGTGTGTTAGGTATATATTTTAAAATGTGCACAACTGTTAATATTTACCCAAAGTGCGTGCTACACTACCAGTCTCACCTGTATAGAACGTAGTGTTGGACGATGAACAGAATGTCAAATACAACAGAGAAGAGTCCCAGGCCGAACTTGGTGGGGTCTCCGAAAATTGATACCCAGTCATCTGGAAATCAAACATTGGGAATGTAATGTTTTGTGCAATGGTAATATCTTTGAACACACTATCATGAAACATCCCATCCCATAACGTAGCCGAGTTGATCTCCCAAGGACAGGTGTAATTTAATTATACTTTTACTTCATTATCATGTCATTCCGAAGAGCCACGTTATGGTTAACTATAGAAGCGTTAAAACACAAGAACGTTGAAAAGACAAAAGAGTTAACTAATAAACACATGAAGACCATTTGAGAAATTCAGTCAAGGTTTTGCCCTACTTCAAAGTTATCAATGTTATTCACAAAAAAATAAGTTGCTGGTGTGCTTAGCATCTCTGAACTCAGTGCTAAAGGAATGGGTTTGATTCGTGGCATATCCTATTAAAACACGTAATGGGTTTGGACAACTTTTCCTAGTATCAGTTACTTTATGTTCTGAAGCTTACAATTCAGTAAACTCAACTTTGACAATTAATTTAGATTGTCTGAGGATGAGAGATGAATTTTTGTAAAACCCAGCATATTAGATTTTAAAACTGTTTTTAAAAGAAACAAATTTTGGACACTAGATTACTAGAAACTAATGCAAAAAACTCTGTGATTCTAGGAAAATGCCCTTGCCGAAAAAATAAAGATTCTAGAAAACGTAAATGATGTTACCAATCCTGTAGCTATATTTGGCATATAGAAAACCCAACTTCATATACTGTGCTGGTAATACTGACTGTAATTGTAGGCGTTGAGTATCATTTGCCCCATGCTGAGTATGCCTCCAGTGAAGTCTAGCAGGACATTCCCTATGCTCCAGCCAACCGTGCTCTTGCGCTGGTAGTTCATGAAAGCCTACAACAAACATACCTAAAGTCACTCACTCTCAGAGGTGCCCATCCCCCCCAAACCCAGAGGCGCAATCCCCCCCCCCAAGCCAACGGAGTAATCCAACATGGTGGAAGTAAATAGTAATCTTGAGCAATCCCCCCCCCCCAAATTTATGCTGCCGTCTATTTAAACCTACCCTCCCCCACCAATTTATCTGACAATTCCCCCTTTACCTCATAGAACGAGCATTTCAAGTATTTAGTAGGAGGTACAAAAAACAAACTTGCTGATAAGCAAAATTAAATGTTTAATAGGAAACGTCATTTAACAATAAATCATTATATCTAACTAATGGTTGAGTTAGAAGTTTTTCAATTTACAATTCCGAATCTGTATTGTCAGCCAACATCTGACAACGTCTTCAAAAAACATTCAACAATATACTCGGTGAATTACTCTACTCCAACACAGTGTACTGTAACTGTACAATATATTAGGTGGCGTTAATTTTTACAGGGCTTAAGAATTCAAACCGCATTTGAGTGCATTAATAATATTTTGGAAAAAGTATCTTGTTTTAAAATTATAGACAGAGTCTTGAAATAAGACTGACTTGTTGCTCGCCACTCCCAGGCTGCCTTCTACAAAAATCGCCGGGCAAAATACCCACAATACCTTAATTGCCACCAGTACAAGAGGTTTTTGTGAGGAAGTAATCTTATAATACATGTTGATAGCCCCAGGATTGTCTTTTATGAATAATAATGGTAGAAACGCATCTTGTCAGACAATCCGTTTGTACACAAAACACGAAACGATAACAGAGAGGCCTATCAATTCACACGTGTATATTGCCGCGGGCAGGACTGGAAGTAAACTGAATCTGGTTATGACAGAAATATGTGGTCACTGGATTGTCGTCTGTGTTATCAAAGCTGATATTGGACTAATTGTAGTGATGGAGGAGAGTGTTGAAAATATAATGAGATTCATAATTGAGTTTTCCATTCAAAATTATTGACAATAATAACCAATTTATATGCTGGATATAAAATGATGGTCTCGAAATTCTACAGTACTGCACGAAAGGAAATTTATTAAATACTTTGAGGAGTTTGAAATATATACATACATAAAACTGGGAGCAGCACAAAATTTTTGAGTGAAAACTAAGAACCCATTATATTTTCAACACTCTTCTCAGTCACTACAATAGTCCAATATCAGCTGTTGAAAACGCAGACGACAATCCAGAGACTACGTCGGTCCGTCATAACATGAACCTGAGATTCAGTTTACTTCCAGTCCTGCCGACGGCAATGTACACGCGTGAATTGATAGGCCTATCTGTAATGGTTTCGTGTGTTGTGTTAAATGTTTGTAACGTATTCTGACGACACCTCCAGAAGGGGATCTTTTGTAAATCCTGACGATGTTGAAGTTAAAGAACCACCAATACATATCTAGCAAGTAAAACTCGACACTGGTAAATTAAGGATTGTCTGACAAGGTGCGTTTTACCATTCTTAGAAGCAATCTTAATTACGAACGGCAAAATGTTGTTGGTGTTAATAGTGAGCTACTTAGAAACACTTTTTCGGGCTGCTTATACAAAATTATACATTAATTATGACAGCTAGCAAAAAAATATCCCCCCCTAAATCCCCTCAAAAATAATCCCCCCCAAAAATTCCTGTGGCGCAAACGCGCCACAGTACCCCCCCTCTGGGCACCCCTGCTCACTCTCTCTTGGGTAGAGCAAACAATGTCTATACCAACCTTTTATAGAGGGTTGGCCGAAATTCATTACTCACTCTGTTTCATGGAAATAACGGAAGGTTAATCTCCGAAGGAGAAATTAGTTGATCAAAATTAGTGAAGTTAGTGAATTAGTGAAATTAGTGAATTAGTTTAAATTATTTGAGGAATTAGTTAATCTCTAGTAACATCAACCAAGCGAAATGTTACCCAAAAATTGTTCAGTGTTCCAAGCGAAATGTTACCCAAAAATTGTTGAGTGTTTCATCATTGATTTGTGGATACTGAAGTAGAAATCTCAATTATATGCTCCAGCTGCAGCCAATTTTTAATCCCATTAGAACCCAGTTAGTTGAGCCCCTTGCAGAATATACAGCAGTCAAAATTATATTTTCTCTTTTATTTTCGATACTTCAATAATTTATGGCTGAGCCAAGACTCTATAGTTTACAGGAAATATTTCTTCACCGATAATCGGATTATCGGCCCTCGCTCGTAAAATATTACAGTTTGTTTTAACCAACCATGTTTTGGGAGCAGTTAGATTTATCCACCACTTTCTAGGAATCTCGGCATTTCTGCTCCCACGCTCGGTGATGGCAACAATACGCTAAACTCTACAATATGTTACTAAGAATAAGTTATTTATTATTTATCCTAAAAAATATTGCATATTGCCAGTTTGTCACCATTGTTCGTAGAGTGAGCAAATCTGATTTGTCATCAGTGTGGCAAAGTTATAATAATAGTGTAGTGCATTGAAGTGCGTGTTTAGCCATTTAGTTTATTTATAAATAAATAAATAAAAATGCCTTTTATTAGCAAGCGCTTCTCAGTACAAACTGTTTTACAGGATGACTCTTGTCAATTAACTAATCCTTACTTAAAACTAAAGACAAAACAAAATACTGATCCCCCTATTTAGAAGATTTTAGCTATTTACAAAAATACATTTTTCTTTTCATTTATTTAATTGAAACTGTGCTTAGGTTTTAATAACACTGTAAAAATAGGTGTTTTCAAATAAAGTGTCTTTTTTAAACGTGTTTAGGGTTTATTTGTGACTTATCTATCGTGGATACTAAAAAAAATGTGAGATATATCTATTTTATTTAGTAAATAATGCACACACAATTTTTCCAAACTAATTGCCCTTCATTTTTTAAAGTTTTTAAAGATGCCCGTTTGAACCGACCTTTTGAGTTATCCGAGCTAGGTCCGGTTCAATGGTTGAGGGGAGGTCTTCTGCAATTGACATTAACACACTTTGTTGGTAGCTCATCCATACCACAAGAATTTTCTTTCTAAAACTGTCTACAGCTTAAACATGGGAATGGAATGTCTATTCTATCAATTTTCAAAGGTTACATACAGTCAAGAACTTAGCTAAAAGTGTCACAGCTGCTCATTTAATGACCTAAGCTTAACTCGGAACCATCTAGTTTAACGGATTCCAAATTTCTGACAAAAACTGTTGACTCAAAGAAAATTAATAGAAGGTAGTCAAATGGTTTAGCTTGTCTTCAACTACAAGATTGCTGGTTCAATAGCAAAATTGAACAATACTTCATCCACTTGTCATTAGCCCAGTTATCTTGTCAGACAATAATTGACATCAAAAGAAAGTCAAAATTTACATAATTTTCTTGCAACAAAACCCCTAAATAATCTCAGACGTGTCAAGACAAATGAATAATTAAATTATACAAAATTGTTACCTGAGGGATGTATTTGATGAGAGTGATAGTGAGCTTAATGTAAGAACAGTCGTACAGAAAGTCAAGCCAGTCGATGTAGTTGAAGAGAGCGAGTCCGAGGCAAGTAACAAATATGAGGAAAAACGCAACCAAGATGGATCTAGCTGTGGTGGACACTCTTTGACTCCCTCTCTAGGCAAAACAGAAATGTTTAGTTGAGAATTAGCACTTATAAATGGTTATTTGTTCATAGAAAAACCTTTTAAAGGGTGCGCCAAAAAAACCTGACGGTTTCTGTTTTATAATAAGTCAGCTGTTATACAAGCTAGAGACCTCATTGTTGTAGTAAACGATTGCTTATGTTATGCCATTTTTAGGTTATGTTTGGTGAAACATCATTTCGCCGAAAGAAAGTTACTGTCTAGTGTGGTGTGGCAAGGTTTGGAGTCATCGAACCATATGTTTTTGAGGGCAAAATGGGGAACGCCAACACTGTAAACTCGGAACACTATGTGGAAATACTGAAGGGGTTTTTGGTTCCACAATTGTGAATGATAGGAGGGATAGACATGACCAACAAATGGTTTCAACAGGACAGCACTACTTGTCATACAATCAATTATTCAATGACAGTTTTGCGTGAACTCTTTCCCGATAAAGTGATCTCTTGGTTTGGCGATGTGCCGTGGTGATCCCCAGACTTAATTTCGTGTGAATCTTGGCTATGGGGATACTTGAAAAACAAAGGGTTTGTTTCGAAATTTTGAACCATCCCTAAACACAAGCAGTGTATCCGGGAAGAGATTGCTTCTATTCATCAGGTAAAGATGACTGCAAATATGAAAAAAACAAAAAAATGGGAAGCCTGCGTTTAGTAGAAGGTTATCACCTAAGTGATATAATTTTTTATAAATGAAAATGGCATAGTAGTGTGTACAATATAACATTATTTAAAACATAAACTGTATTTTGTTCTTGAGTTATTTAGTATTAAAAACCGTCAGGTTATTTTGGCGCACCCTGTATAACACTTAAAATGTGCACTCTAACTTCAAATAAAATTAAAATCTGATTTATTCATAAATGTACAAAATTACAATAAATAGATTCAAGGAGAATATTGTAATTAACTATTTAAAATATTTTAAATTGTAAAATTCTTTAAAGGAGTAAAATGCTTGTTCTGTTAAAAATTTCACATGTTTAGAGTCAAATCTTGTGCTACATTTTTTCCTTATGTCTTTGCTGTTTTTAGGTAGAAGACTGATTTGATAACTTAACTTACTTTTACTTAAAAGTAAAATTGCAATAACATCAATTCTACTTTCAGAACAGTTAGGATAAAACCCCTCGAAATTGTAACTTGTAATACAAATCTGATGTTGTGGAATTACTTCTATGAATAACCCAACCAAAATTCCAGGAATTGAATACTTTTACTAATACATTAATGTTTCTGAACGACATGCTTTTAGGTGAGGTGTTATTTATTCACAAAGATTATTGTGGGCTTCACTCACCTTAATTTTTGTCTGTGATGTCGGGGACTCGTCAAAACACACACATATATATATACAACACAAAATCGTCCACGGCATCAAAAGGACTTTTGATGCCGTGGACGATTTTGTGTTGTATATATATGTGTGTGTGTTTTGACGAGTCCCGGACATCACAGACAAAAATTAAGGTGAGTGAAGCCCACAATAATCTTCGTGAATAATACATTAATATAATATTTGATAAAGAAATCAAATAAAAGATTTACTAAAAACTAAAAGTTCAGATTTTTTATATTGTATTACTAATATTAAATGAAAAATACTTTTACATCACGTCAAGGAGTACGCATTATCACTATAGAGCTGAAATATTTTAGTTTCACTAATTTATAATTAATTTAAGCTTGAGAGTATTCAAATAAACCTCGTAACAGAAGCACTGAAGGATCGTAAGGATCGTAGCGAAGGCAGCGTGGACAGCAAACACAATGTCATTTAACTGGACTGGGTTTAGACCTCTAGGATGTCTTCGGAAATATTCCTCCTAGAAAACAGAATTGTGATTTAAACAATAGAAATGAGTAAACAATCCAATATATCTAAATACATGTCTAACAGTCTGAAAAGGGTTCAAGTTCTTTCCTATTACACCGTATTGGTTGAGTCACACTGTGTGCACTGAAAAAAATGTCCTTTTTTAACAAACCAAAATTTGAAATTAAAATACAGTTTTTAAGAGTATCATGTGATTTAGTGATGGAGTTCTACAATTCATCGTCCAAGGCAACTATAATTTTTGTTTTGTTTTGTAGGTGAACCAACAGTTTGAGAGGGACTCACCTATCATCTTAAGCCGGGTTTACACGATGCCAGTTGACGAGACAATTGTCAGGAGACAACTGACTGGCTTGAAATTAATGGCTTCATGTAAACACTTCAGCCAATTACCCCGAAATTCAGTTGTCTCCGGGAGTTTTTACTGTTGTTACCTTAAGATGAATTTTGATAATAGATCTAAAATTCAGAAAACAGCAACCTGGAGTAGTGTGATCAATAATGTCCTACCGATCATGTTGATTGTAGCCTACTTGTTCATGTATATTTGTGTTCATTGTTTGACACTATTCATGTAAATATGTATTTACAAATGAATAAAGATCTTTTGATTTGATTTGATTTGAGTAGACTGAGGACAATGAGCTGGGCCCAGTGAGGCCCCCCACCCCTCGAAACCCCAGTTGTCGTTACAATTGGCGCCGTGCAAACAATGTAGGAAAATAGCGCTGTCTTGTCTTTTGGCCATAGTACCTTAGTTCATTGTAAAATGCCTAGACAAGTGTTGACAACGTGTGAACAGGTTCTTGTTCAACTTGCCTGGCCTACGACAATTCCGCAACCACATGATGGCAATTGGCTAAGACCATTGTCTCGCCTACTGGCATCGTGTAAACCCGGCTTTACAGAATCATCACAGAGCTAAAAACAGTAAAAACCATTCGTGATTAGGATTCCAATCTCAAGATAAACCAGCTGTATCTCTTACTATGCTCGACTGATACAACACTATCGTGTACCCAATTTAGTTATATCATGAAATCTGGTCATATTGTGCTCATAAACCAATCACGCAAAAACAAGGAAGAATGAGTCAAAACACAATTTCCTAACCTCAACTTGAGGAACATAGTAGAGTCCAATGTTGAACAAGCTGTACATTGTAAACCCGACGATATTGAGAGCGAGGAAGTCAAAGTTCAGCCCAACCACACTGTAACACAGAATTTGACATAGTATAAAATTGACTTTATATCACTCAACGATCACATAAGACCAATAGATGGAGCATGTTGGCCGCAACGTGAAGCCAGTATATTTGACCAATTTTCACTAAGATGGGGCTGCCGGCTGTGATGAGCCCTAATAGCGAGCGCAACTAATTAAATGTTAGTTTATATCAAAGATATCCGTGACAATACGCCTTTATATTATACATTTTTTATTACTAACACAATGACCTTCAAAATACGTTTTTTATTTGTTTTCTAGCGTTAACCATTTCTTAGAAAAAGTTAGTTTAAATAATTCACAACAAAAACTTTTTGGGTGAAAGAAAAATTTGAAAAGCTACAAATTCATTTATTATATATGTATCTATATTGTATTAAAGTTTGGTAAAGTTCGGGTGTTTGGTTTACAATGTACTAATTTTCAAAGTCACAAGATAGTTTCTGAAACTCTATAAACAACTCTCCTTAATATTCAGACGGGCATATTAACTTTTGTTAAAGAGCTAAAAAATATTAATTTTTAGATGAATACCTACAAAAAATAAAATCAAGAACATTTATATGTACTCCATGTTTTTCTAATTATTTTTGTAACTTTTCTGTATAGCTCCAAACTTGAGTATGTAATAACTGTATTACAAGTGAGGTTTTAGGCAGAATCTGCCCGCATGACGCAACGCGGCGCGGCGGGTAGCCCCTATATTACAATTTGAATTACAACCAAACTACACCAGCTAAAAATTAAAAAAAAATATGATCCAAAAATTCAACTCTTTAGCTACAAAATCCACTGTTTTTCAACTTACCTGACCAAAAAATAAAAAACGTAGCAGCCGACAAACTTTTTAATGTCATATTTTTAAACTCATTTCAAAGTATAGTATTATTTGAAGATTTAAAATAGAAAATATTAACTTTTAAGCTTTTAATTAGAATCAATAGTGTCCTAGACAGACTTATTGATATCACTCATACGAAGTTTGAACGATGTACCTTTAGTCTAAGTAGGCTAAATGTTCAGTTATTTGGAAGCGGAACAGTGAGTTTTAGTGCCGTTTTCATCGACATCTAGCACTTCTAACCTACAGTAAGATGGCGGACCTGGCTTCACCTACTTTAATGTTAGTTAGATAGACGTGCTCCATCTATTGGTCTTATATGATCATAGATATCACTCTCTGTAAAATCTTTAAATATATTTTATTAAGGGGAATGTGACTGAAAAAATGATCAAAAATTTTTAAATTATTTCCCAATCTTTTGAAGTATTTTTTTTACGTTATATCGTGTTATTGCTGTTAACAGTTTGAAACAGGATATGCCCATTTTTAACCTAAATAAAGCAAAAAAAAATCATGTCCTCCTCCTCTATAGGAAAAAGTAGCAAAACAGGTGTTGTGTGCAATCCCTTTTAAACTCAATCAACTTCCACTTAAGCCGGACACCGTTTATTTAAGGTGGGCCACTCCCCTAGCTTAGCCACACATTATTGAGCTTAGTCAGGATTGCACACGTCAGAGATCGAACCCGCGCATGTAGAAAGACCTCAGCGCTACACTTGTCAGTGCAATGCCTCAGCCGACTTAGCTACCATGCCACCATCGAAAGACCAGGTAGTTTGCAGTTATAAGCGAGCTCACGTTACACTAGTGCTCTTAGGCATGATTCAACGAACTACTTTAGAGATAAATCAAATGGTTTTTGTTGTGCTGAGTAGCGCTAGTAAACATGTACAACCCTTTTTGTTACTTTTAATAACATTCAAAGGCTCTATTGTGTTTTCACTAAGCTGAATGAATACACAATGTAACAATTTTGCAGATTAAGGACTTTCTAAATCATGCACATATTTTTTCATAAAAATTATTAAGGAATTAATCAAGTTGCTGTAAACCACTACTATATTAATTTGACAAAATATGGACTTGGCTCCATAATATGGACAACTTTTCCAATAATTGAAAACGTGTATGGAAATAATCTCATTAACCTGTGATGATCTGTCTAACAAAATATTGGCAAAAGTGGTCGAAAAGGCAGACACCAACCCAATTAATAGATATAAGATAGTTCAATAAGGAATAATTGTAAGAGTTACTGTGATAAAAGGATTTTCCACTGATTTCGTAATGTAACGTTATATTGCAAAACATGACATAATACAGAAGAAAATCAATTTTAAAATCAGAAAATAACATTGCAAATACTTATTTTGGACAATTCAGTAACTCCTAATAAATGTGTGTTGTTTAAAAGACAATTTAAAAATTAACAGTTGTTTCATTAAAAAGTATTATCCACATGGCCAAAATGTAAACAAATCTGTGGAGGGATCTTTTAAAGGCTTCTCGGGCAGAGCCCTAAGGGGATTTACTTCGTTTTTCTTTTCATAACTCATCTACAGACCATGACCTTTCTTTGGACACCTCTCCCAAGTTTCTACGCCTAGTCGTTCTCTTAAATTAGTGGAGACAAAGTTTCTAATTAAAAATATTTATTCCCCCTATGTTAATCTTATGGGAGAAAACCCAACTTTGATGGAAGATCCAGCCCGAACTAATAAAGATTTCAAAAAAATAAAAACACTTACAGATCAGGGCCATTCTTTTGACACTTTAATCATCAAAATCGGTCCAAAAATGAGGGAGGAGTTCTGTTCACAAAAATCGGCTTAGCGTATTATATATATAAATATAGATTACCCCATCAGCTGTTTTTTGGTTGCATTGTTACCCTTTCCAACTTCTTTTTCCTTATCTACATATTTAGCTCATGTAGGTTTAATAGTTATACGACCCATTGTATGACTTTAAGTGAAATTACATAGGGTAATGGTTATACTCTACCTGCCTCAAATATGTTTATTGTGTGATAAATCATAACAATGGAGAAGTTAAAAATGCAATCAAGGAATCAAGGCTTGCTTCGCTCATATTTCTGTTTTTATGCTAAATTACTTTTGATAGTAAACAGAGGGTGACTTGTTGGATTTTCAATTAAGATGTTTAAAAAATCATGACAAGTGCATATAAATAATTTGGTAAAACATTACAATTTTTGCAAATTTTACCCAATGTTAAGAAAAATTATACAAAGATAGATAGGTGTTATTGTTTCCAACACACTTAACATAATTAATTCACTGGCGCTGTTGTTCAGGAATGGGCTTCTGAGTAGTATGGTCTATCCTGTAGACTGGATGTTAGTTGATTCTTTGTGTTTGGTTAAAATTTTCCAAACATATTTTATATTCATTTGCCAAATATTTTACATTAACACACAGCTGATGAAAACAAATAAAATTAGGAAGTCTATAGGTTTATTCTAAAAGTCTACCTCAAGGTCAATTAATAATAATAGAAGATACATAACAACACCTAATAGTTTATAATCATTAAGATCGCACAAGCTGTGTTTTGCATTCACCATAGAATACATTGTTCATTCAAGTTAATACCACGATATGAAAGATAGGTAAGCTATTGAACTATTGAATGCCTATTTGTACGTAATCAAAATTTTTGATTCACCTTTTGCGCACAAAGTTCTCGTAGATCTGAGGGTAGAAGGAGATGGACCAAGCTATGAAGTAGACCCAACCAATGATCACACTGATCAGAGAGAGAAGTTCTGAGTATTGCACAGTGACACGGATGAATGCCTTGTCTGCACTGTAACAAACAGAACAGTGCTAAGCATTTACAAATTTTGTTTCACAGTTTTATTGTTAAAAGAACATGAGTACTGTTAAGATTTTTCCTTGATTACTTAACCAAGCAATATTTTTGTACCTAAAATGCAAAATAGCTGATTCTTATATTTTTGTACTTCGCCCCACATATATCACAGAAAACTTATTACTATGCACTCAGCATAGCAACGCTGGTGGCGCTGCCTACGATTGACAGGCAAAGCTCTCTCAAAACACTTAATGCTTTTTACCATGCGGTTGGTATTCTGGGTTATAGTAATATGTTTTCTGTGCATATATATACTTCCTCGGATTTTCAATCATTAACACAAAATAGAAAGCTTGAAAACCCCAGGAAAGGTTGTTTGATGAGTAATCTTTGAGTGGATTAGGTAACATTTCCACACTACTCTTCCCCACTTGCTAAATATAAGAATTATAACCAACTTTTATCAATACAAATTTATAAAAAGTAAAGGTAGAAAGAAGTATTTTTTGTCATATTTATCTGCATTAGTATAGAAATTGGGTTTTCTAATGAATGTTGAGTTTTTATTGGCAAATCATAATCCCACTATTTGACCCTTTTAATTTCTAGTTGGTTTTATTTGTGTAATAACATTTTTTCCAAATTGTATTTATAAGTTTGTATAAGAAATCCAAACACAAATAAACTTACTGTACTTTTAAATTTCTAATACTGTTTAGGAAGATAAATTTTCAGAAATATTTTTGACAAGATTTAATCACTTCTAGAAATCTGTGGAGAATCATTTTACTCTGGTCAAATCGTAACAGCTTGTCATGTACCTCTGGTTTTCAATTTTACTTTCATTAACATTCTGATGGGAGAAATCATTTTTAAAAACATTAAAAAACTGTTTGAGAATCAAAAATCAAGAAACTGGTAAAACAATTTATGAACACCAAAAATTGAAATGAAGGTCTATAGAACAATGGTGAACCAACCATTGGTCTATTCATAGTTCACAAAGAACTGTTGAAACCACTCAATACAAGTATACATTATGAGAACAAAGAAGTAGAGTGGCCCACTAGTGTTTACAAACAAGAGATGACTTGCGCCTAATACGGAAGTTATTTGACTGTAATTATGTCTGAACAATGTCTGCTATGGTGAGAGTGAGTTGTTAACCATTGACATTTGACCTGTATTGTGACAAGACCTTGTCTGTGGCACAGTTCTACACAAGGTATGACAAACTAATATTTAACCAAGAGGAAAACAAGTAAAACAACGTAAAACTGAGGGATATTACCTCAGATGAATAGATATCTCAAGTACCTCAACTTGATAAGAGATAGATTACATACTCATAAATCATGTCAGACTTTATGAAAATTGTCCAATATTTAATCTTGAAGATTTTGGTTTTGATAATATTTTATCGTTGAAATGTAATTGAATGAATTTTTATAGCTTCAGTTTTTATTTTAGATGAATTGCAGATGGTTTAAAATAAACTTAATTTGCACAATATGTTAAATCGATCAAATCAAGATTTTTACTGACAAACCAATGTACAAAAATGATACGATGTTGTATAGGCTACATTGCGTATGGAAGTTATATTCGAGTGCTTATAGCTTCATGATGAAAAAATAATCAGCTGGTATCCTACCTAACTTGTCGATGAATGTTCCTTTAAAAAGCAATAGCAGGAGGCATGAATATTGTTGGTCAATATTAAGAAAGTGATGATATAATAAATGTACACTAGCTTTTCTGGCTTAAGCTATAAACTTGATTTCTTATTGAAATGCAAAGAGAAAGATATGCCAAAAACAAGTGATTCATCCACAAACTGAGCAAATAATGATGAAACAGTTCAATCACCTGAATACATATAGCAGCCACTTGTGGGCACACGTCAAAGCAGTGTAAATGTTTCTGTATTCTACACAAAAACTATAAAAAAAAACCTTTTCAACAACCATTTCTTGTAAGTTTATCCACATTACAAGTCTTCTCAGTGATTCCATTATTACTTTATGATACTATTTATTTGTTCGTCCATAATTAGTACTAAATTTTTCTTAATGCATGACTTAAGACATACAGTACTGAGTCAATGATGATATGGGGAGAGTTAAGGCGTTAAATGCAACCAGTGAAAATTATGATGAAAGAAAATCAACAAGAAAATCAAAGTTATGTTGTGTGATTTACAGAGTAAAGTGAATACGGTGGTTTGTAGTAATCAATGTTTTGTGTTTTTTATAAAGAGTTTTTTTTAGTTTAATGTCAAATTTTGAATTGTAGGTACATCAACTTTTGGTCAAAATAGTAAAACATTCACTCAGATAACTACTATGTAAAATAGTTCGAATGACAGAAAGCAGTAGGAGACTATCAGTTGTTTCGGAACACTTCAAAAGTTGTTAAAGAGATAAAACATTAGTTAGAAGTAGTAAACTGCCATTAGTATTGAATAATTTGTTTCTTTAATCTTGACTATTGAAAATTGGTCTAAGCTTCACTAACTGAGATAACATAAAGATTAAGAATCTAATACAAAAAGAGAAGACAAGAGGTGATTGGTATTATTATTTGGCTTTTTTTATGAGTCACCAAATTAATTAAGACAGCATTGACTGGTACAGAGAACCATTGTCAATTCAGGCAAAACCTTGAAGTTAATAAAATGAACAAGAAAAAAGATTTTGAAAAAAAATTTGATATTAATGAAATGAAATAAACTAAAATCTCCCATCACAGAACAAAATATAAGGTGCAAAGACGTTGAACTCCTGCCTCACTTCCTCTTGAGAAAGCTGCAAAAACAGCAATCTCCTGTTCTTTTATCTGACGATTCTTTGTTGATAATATTCAAAAATCATCTGTATCTTGGACAAGACTCAATAAGATCTGATGAAAATGTTTAATTCAAACCGATATGTCAATAGTAACAATGCTCTGTACAATTTATATTGTTAACAATAATATTGTTTAAGAGTAAATATTCTGTGTCATGCCTGCACAAAGGTGTCTTATTTCACAATATAAATTATTTACAATACATTAACATTTTCCAAGCCATAAAAATAAATCAAATCCAAACAATTCAAGAAGTAACTTCACCGTTGACATTTCACGCTCTATATCCCAACTGATAAGTTTCACTACCTAGCAACAAACAAATCTGCACATTAATTAAATCATTATAGGTGCAGTACATTAAGCATATAATTTTCATTGACTGATAAAAACTTATTCTTCACACATTTAATGGATCATAACCATAACAGAAGAGTGTAAACAGATGCCATGACGGATCATCGCATATGTTAACCTTGAAGATAATTCAGTGAGGATAATCTGTTGTCAGTTTATGGCCATTATACCTTCTGCTATTTAAATGATGAACTGTTTTTGCACACAGCACATGCAAACAATAAAAGTTGAATGAATATTTTAAGATTTTAAAATAGGCCACTCAACAATGGTAAACTTGTTTTTTTGTTCATCATTCATAACATAACATATCACTGACTAAGAACAGTAAAACTCAGACTATCTATGATAAAGGGTGCGATTCCACTTTCAATCACATATTATTTAGGTAAATGCATGGAATTTAAACGTGTATGTTGAATAAAAAATATCTAAAACAGTAAAGATCTACAATGAAAGGGGGTCGAGGACCAGCTCATGAAAAAATGAGTAATGACCTCGTGGTCCTGGAGATGAGAACGTGGTTATCCAATGAATTATGAACATCTCTCGCAATTGCGGCAAAATAGTTAAAATCTCCAGAGATTATGATAAACCTGTGAACGTCTCATGTGATCGTAACTGTGAACATTTCTCAAGGCCGCGTCTCACTGTCGTGGAGACGCCTACATCTTTCGCAACCCTGCGTAAAATTGAGAGCATTTCACAATGAAATTGCGAGAATCTTCGATGATAGACTGTTTTCAGACAGTGAGCACTACCACACGGGAAAATTACAACTACACCACTGAAACTTACAATCTACGATACTAAACAAACTAGTGACATTGTAACAATGTCACTAAGTGTCTCAGTAACTCACTTGACGACGTGAGGTGTGACGTTGGCATACACTAGGAAGTGACCTCTTTCTTCACCGGTCACATCAATCTTCCACGGCCCAGCAGACCGAGGGGCAACAGTGATCTGGTAAGGGTCAATCTTGAGAACATCCTTCTCCGGAACTATCAATGATACGTCCAGTTCCTGAGCAACTGGCTCTCTGAAACACAATCAATGAAATTAACACCAAGACTGGAGAAATGGAATTTGAATTTCACCACCTGAGAAGTTAGTGAAAACTAAAATGTACTGCAACATGATTACATACAGATACAGAGTGTGATGGACTATGATACTGAAAATTAGTTAAAATATTTGACTAAGTAAGGTTAATCCAGAAAATTAGGTGATAATCTATAACCGACTAATTATTGTAAAGAATACATTATAGAACACAACTTCTAATTATTGTTTAGAACTATATCATTGTTTGTGTCTCGTAATATTTATGTTTTTATTCCTTTGGGTATCGTATTTGCAGCTTAAATGTTTCTACTTAAATCTAGTCAAGCAAAAATGTCCATTCACTATGTACCTGTTACTGTATGCAATATTTCATTTAGCCTAACTTAACAATTTGACGTGGTCTATAACTGTATTACTGTTCAATTGACCAAATAAAGAATCTTGTATATTATTTTTAAACACTTTTTTGCCCTAGAGCTACATCTACATAATTTTAACCTTTTTAATGGTAAAAGAGTTTAAATGTACAGTAGCACAACTTTTTCCGTTCAGTTAAGAATTTCAGCTATGAAACTATTTAAAGGGGTCTCCCTTCGAGTAACATATTTTAATAAAAATAGCATTGAATTAGTTATTTATTTAAATTCTAATATGAAAAATTGCGTGAGAGAAATTAGTAAATTTAAATGCGGAATTATGTGAAACTATTTTAACAGTGTCAAAACAAAATCAGAAATATAATCATTTTATGTCAACTAAAATATTGAAAAACCAGTTTTGTAATCGCTCAAAATGACATTTATAAAAAGCGTAGATCATTGTGTAGTGTTTTTAAGGGATAAATATGCCCATTATATTTTACAGAATAATTGCATGAGCTAAAGAGTGTTTTATAATAATGCTACTGAACCCGGAATTTTCATCAAAACAAATAAAACAATATCCAGGTGTTCTTTAGTGATTTAAAACTTTCCTAATTAAAGACAATTCATTTTACCACTTAAATCCAAGTTTCCAATAGATTTTATAGACATGTACCTATAAAGGAATGAAAAAATTTCCAAATTTTCCAGCGATTCTAGTTTAGAGTTAATCTATAAACTTGGCCTGATTAGTAAACATATTAAATCACGACCTGGACCCATCAAGAGGCGAAAGTTAATCGACCACTTTCATCTTCAACTCTAGGATAGCAAACAGAAGACTGAAACATTCAATAAAATCTGCATATATCTTAGTACCAATTTGGCCTAAGCTCTGTTTCCAACAATAGATATACACAAACCACATTGTGTTAAAGGAAACAAATTGATCTGTTTGTATAAAATATAAAAATGGATCACATAAAACACTTAAAAACACAAATGAACTATCACTTAAGAGTAAGTAGCTATATTAATTGTGGTTATTTTTATCAAAGCAATTTTTCACACCTTAATTCATAGTTATTCAACTTACGTCAGATTAAGAGTAAAATGTGATGTGTTTCCAACGAGAATCGTCAACTCATTTTCAAGGACTGTCAGGTCTCCACTAACCACTGCAACAATAAATCAGCATTAAACCTATAGAATTTGTTTTTATAACCATTGATCATGATGTACCTGAATCAAACTTATGGTCAAATATTAAAACATAAAATTCTGACATAACTACCTGTGCATGAAATGCACCAAGATTGGGGTTTCCAAGTTTAATGACAAATCAGGAAGTTTATAAAGATAAAAGATCAGTTTTGAGGAAGCTTTATTGTTGATAATGAAAGAAAACTTTTGTAGGGTCATAACACAAGTTTTGAATACAGACACAGTACCTGTTGGATACTAGAGTCTAAACCTTCGCTAAATCATCACGATGTTGTCCCCTGGCACTGCGGAGTGGGGGAAGCAAAGCATTCAATTGGCTGAGGGAACACCATTACCGCAACGATACGATTTGTAGCCACCGGCCTCGGTGGACTAATGGATAACGTGCCGGGCTGAGAATCTGAAGGTTCCAGGTTCAAATCCTCTCGGTAGCACTAACTTTTTGTCTAAGATTTTTGCATTATCAGCAAGTTTGGTTAGTTTGGTTAGGTTATGACAGTTTAATTTGTTAATTAAAACATTATAAAATTCAATTGGAGCTATTATAATTTTAGAACTATTTTTTTTCTATTAGTAAACCTTGTTAGATTTTTCATTATCAGCAAGTTTGGTTGGTTTGGTTAGGTTATGACAGTTTAATTTTATAATTAATAAATTCTAAAATTGAATTCAAGGCATTTATAATTTTATTTTATGAACAGAACTATTTTTTCGATTAGTAAACCTTAATTCGATTATTATTTTATATATTTTTTTTATATAATCAGCATATTTGGTTGGTTAGGTTAGTTTATGACAGTTTAATTTTATAAATATTCATTTTTTAACTTATTGAAAAACTGCAGCATAGGTTTATGCATGTAAAACAACGCGGGCTTGTTTGGACGCCGTCTAGAGGGGAGGTGGAGGGAGAATCATTTCCCCCACTCTGCAGCGCCAGGGGACAACATCGTGATGATTTAGCGAAGGTTTAGACTCCAGTCCTGTTGGATTGGGAAAGGTTAAATTATTATAAAGAAATAAAAAAAAACATGTTAACATGAGCAAGGAAAACAATGTAATAAAAAAGTAAACAAAAATAAATAATAACATATGACAAATACACACACATGATAGAGACAGTTCAAAGGGGAAAAGTCTTAATGTCTTCAACAGTACCATTGATAAGACATACCACTTTCATCAAAACATTATAGTCAGCTTTAGAGTAAAAAATAAATAGTTCATTTAAGCCACTATCAGAACAGTAATGAGTTTACCTTCTGTTCCTTATTGAGGCCTATTCTTTTATCAATTAAAAAAAAAAACCAACATTAGTACTGTACTGTAGTATAAGACGCTTCTTTAAGGAATTTACTATTACTAACATTAACTTAACTAGGTTTAACATATCTCCAAGGAAAAAAAAACTTCAAACCTCAACAACAAAGTTTTTTTTTTGGTACATTTTAGACTTTTGTACAAAATTGATAAGTTGGACACCAGCTATATAGACAAAAGGTTTTGGGGTTTAGACTTATTTTGCGTAAAATATTTTGTGTCTGTATTCAAAATGCCTCAGTCTTAGAAAGCAAAATTTACATTACTTCTTATGGTAAAAATACTCTAAATACATGAAGACAAAGACTCGTATTAAAGAGTTGAACTCCATCAACACACGTAACGGTTTTTACTATAGAACACAACTGGTTTAAACTTTCAGTCGACATTCTTCTAAGCAAACAAAGAATGAAAATGTTGCGCAACACACTGTTTGCGTAGAAAAGTGTTGCTAGTGATGTGATTTGCCGACAGACAGCATTCCAGAACCATGACCTTGACAGCGGCTGAAGCTGTGCTGAAACTGGTTGGCATTGGATCGGCATCAGCACTAAACACTTGCTGAGTTTAAATATTGATTTTTCAGGTACCTAATGAATTAGCAAGTCAGTGGTCTAGTTATTAACCCTAACAATAAAACCTACTCTAATTCATCCACCCTTCAGATTATTTTATTTTATGTACGAGTGTTGTATGGTTTTTGGCGTATTACCTAATTTATTCTGTATCGTTAAGTCTCAATTACAATTATTAAGCAAATCATACCTTGAGTGAGTGTTCTTTCTTCCTCCTAAAATTCATATCCGCATTTCCTGGTATGAATAGGTGTATTTGGGAATCGTTTTGTATTATTTGTATTTTTTTTTAGTTTTGAAGGTAGAAAATTGGGTAGTTTGAAAAAAATGATGATTTAATCTTGAATGTAATAAAACATATGAGTTTTAAAATTTAGTTGAGAAGTTGAAGAAAGAATACACTAGTCTCCATTACCACAAGGCATCATATGTCAATACTTAGTGATAAATTAGATTTTAAAATAGTCTGTTTAATATTACCAACTACTTTAGATACCATTGTGTAAGTTGTAGGAACACTGATTGTGGATCACAGTTTGTTCTTGTCATAAAACATCTTATCTCCTGTCTAATGCCCTCACTACTCAAGATTTATCCCTCAGTGATGGATTAGCTAAATAAAACTTTTTGTGGCTTGTAAATCACAATTTTACAGGGTAATTTACTTATTGTAAACCAAAACTCTAAGTAAATAATAGTTATTGTTATTGTTTGACTTTTTGTACGGAGAGAAGTCAACATAGACACAGTTTTTGTCACCTTAGATCACACGTAACATCACCTTACGTAGGCTGTTATTGGTATTATCACATATTAAGTTGCCATTAGTGATTGGAGAAATCGTAATGTACCTGTTCCATGGTCTACTGACCAGTAGTGTCTGTAAATAATTGATGAAAGATTTGGCAAGGCAAACCTTAGTAACAGAAGTGTTCAGTAGATCTTTCTGGAAAAGTTTGCTTTTTTGTACTACTACTTTTGGTACAAGGGTAGTTCAGATTATTTATACACTGCTTGGTCGTAGTGGTAGTGAGAGATTACCAAGAAAAACAGACACTTATTGATTTAAAGAAGAACACAACAATTGACTTAAAGAAGAGAACTTATTGCATAGGTAGCAAGTAGCGAGTAGCGACTGTTCCAACAAAGTAAAAACAAAAACCATCAATAAGATTTATGAGCTAATAAGTTAGCTTAACACTCACGTCATTAACTATCTTCTACCCATTTATAGGATGAGTTGTGTTTTAAGTTTGGCTGGTTATCTCAAATTCTACAATTGTGAGACCTAGGAAAGTGATAGTACGAAAGTGAGGAATTCATGGGGTTTTGATATTGTTTGTCAGTTTTTTACAATGTATGGATCATCAACATTTTTAAGTTAAGTTCCTACTTAATTATTTTATTTTGTATGTAGAGGCAGAATAAGGCAATGTGTGGTACATTAATGTCAGAGCATTTGTAGTTAAGGATTTTAAGGGGACAAAACAATAGTTTTAAGTTAAAAAATTTTGTAAGAGAAAACAAGTTTTTCAAAATAATTATTATATAAATCCACACAAGAATAGTTTTAAGAATTGTTATTAGGATGACAGGCTAACTGGAATGGGAAAGAATCAATTCTGGCAAGAGAAACACACACACCTTCATACTGGGCACAAAAATTAGAATATTTGTGTATATTGAAAGGTTTTTTTTTATTCTTGTGCTTAGGGTAACTCTTTTCCGATCAGATAAGCTGGACAAAATGTTGATCCTTACAAAAGAACCAAAAATAACAAACTCAAACTTATTGATTCTAATAAACTTCCAATTGTGGCAGCCCTACTGAATCAATGAAGTACGGTATCGAGAGTAAGTGGAAAGCTTAGATCAGCTTGTTGATTATTTTTATGACTAAAAAGAGTCTGCATTGCCAGACCAGGGTCACTGGGCACTCTCAAGTTCAACTCAAGTACAAGGCCGGCAGCCTCTGGATATGTCCAGACTAAACATGAGCTTGCAGAAATCTATTTTGGCTTTTCCGAATCTCTGCCTGAAAACCTGGACCAACCGCAATAATGCTGAATAGCTGATATGTCTTCAACATTTGTGGTATTGCGGATGAGTGTATTTTACAACAGAATTAATTACATTTGTTTGTTATGTCGCAAACAGTGACTGAGCAATAACTTGAGAAACTAAGTTTGTATGCTGTGTTTTACTGAAACCGTACAATACCTTCTATCACACGGAAGTTCAACGACGAATAATAAGAAAGTTCTCTAAAACTATAATTTTAAATGAGTTTTAGAGAACTGTAAGAGAATTTATTTGTTCATAGACAATTTACCTTCAAAATTTGATAAGGTAACAACTTAAGGTACACCCACAGGTTTATAGAACTAGATATGTAACTGTGAACAAAAATCAATGCTACAAGTCGTATTGTAAATACATGAAATTATGTAACTTACCAGAAAAACTAAATACAAAGGTGAAAGTGAGAAACAGCATTTTTGGAGTTTTGCCTCCAAAACCGAAGATGGGCGTCGGGAACATATTCTTAGAAGTGTGATATTATCTGCAACATACGAGGCAATAACAGTTATCCATGGTTGTAAACTTGCAGCTTCACAACTATAAACAGTACATTTCTACACAACTGTGTGGCAGAACAGAACAGCTGTGAGCTGGTTGCAGTTGGGTTGATAATGTATTGATATCAAGTGTTTGAACTAATATTGATAAGGCTGAGTAAAAGTTTCATCACTGATTTCAAGGTTTATTTTTATTGAGGACTTAATTTCCTGATTCATGATTCAGGCAATGAGGAATTGGCAGCGGTTTTAGGGATTGAACTATTTTCCTATGGTTTAAGAAAATTTGTAATATTTACCATCTGTATAGCAAGTAAAATTGAATATGCATACTACAATTCGTTTTCTGTGAATAAGAGATATTTTGTAACACAGATATTTCAACCAGTTGATTAAATTGTAGCATGACTATTTTTCTAGATAGCTGAGTGTTTATAGTGCTGGCCTTCAAATCTGAGGGTTACTGGTTTAATTCCAAGCAAGATCTTTAATACTTTAATACTTTTCAATGAAATGGCGACCATACAAAGTAGGTAGGTATTTTAAGCCAAGTATGAATGGAGGTAAGTATAGGATGAGTGGCGTGATCTTGTAGTCTTGTTAGTGACTAAGGCCGACATATTCCTTAGACACAGCTGTTAATTATAGCCCTAATGGCAACTAAGGGACCTACAGTTTATAGTGGAATCCGAACCACATTTTTGCCTTGGTATATACGAATTGGTCTAATTATCAGGATAGTACTGCGGATAGTCGTATCGTAGTAGGTACTCATACTCGTGCGGACGTTAATTCACACCAATTCAATTCAATTCAATTCAAAACATCTTTATTCATTAGTATATAAAATTGTATATACAAGAATGGTGTCAAATTCATCATTACATAAAATATAAACACAAATAAAAGACAAATACAATACACAAGAACAAAACAACAAAATAATACAGTCATCTCTCAAGTAGGTATAAAACAAAAGCATACTTCAGTGAAAACAAAAATATAGTTCAGTGAAACAGCAATAGGCCTAAAACATTTTAAGTCAATGCTGTTATTGCTTAGCCCAGAAATCTTTGAATTTATAGAGAGCATTTTGTGTCAAATGTAATTTTAGAGCGTTTTTAAATCTGTTGTCATCTGTTTCATTTTTTATTTTTATTGGTAATTGATTAAAAAATTGTATTCCAATGTACGATGGTTTTTGTTTAAATATTTCTTTTTTATGCTTTTTAATTTGGAAATTATATCGGTTTCTTGTGTTGTAATTATGATTATCGACGTTTCTAGTAAATGTTGAAATATTACGTTTAACATGAAGAACAGTTTTGTAAATATAAAGGCTATAAACTGTCATGATACCCAATCCAATAAAATGTTTTTTACAGTGTGCATCAAAATCCAATTTAAGCATTGATCTTATTGCATCTTTTTGAAGATGTAAAATTTTTTTGAGGTTAAAATTTGATGTTGCTCCATATACTTCAAGACCATACCCAATATGGGTATGGACCATTGAAAAATACATTGATTGCAATGTTTTGATGTCACAAAAAGAGGACAATCTCTTCAGAGCAAAGACTCCTGAACTAACTTTTGAACAGACCTCTTTTACATGATCTGACCAAGACAGTTTTCTATCCAGTAGAATACCAAGGAACTTTGACTTTTCGGCAAGGTCAACAGTATTAAGGCAGTCTGTTGGTTCTGTGTCATTCCTTGAATTACCATTTTTACAAGAGAATTTAATTATTGTTGTTTTATTTTTATTAGTTAAAAGGTTCAAGTTACTTAGTCTTTCGTTGACTTTGTTTGTTGCTTGGGATAATTGATCAAAAACATTACTTCTATTGCTACTAGCTATCGTTAGATTAATATCATCTGCAAAAATACAAAATTTGTTATTTAATGTTAGATTTGAAAGACATTCTGGTAACTTTCCTAAATACACAAGGAATAGGAATGGTCCCAGGACTGATCCCTGGGGAACGGAATATTTAATTAATCTAGTTTTTGACTTTATTTTAAATAATTTATTGCCATTGAGGTGTTTAGTTTCCACATATTGCCTTCGACCTATTAGGTATGATTTTAATAAAGCTAAATCTTTGCCAATTATTCCATTAGAAGTTAGTTTTTCTAGTAAAATAGAATGGGATACACTATCAAACGCTTTAGTCAGATCTAGAAATGCAGAAACAGTATGGTCACCTTTGTCTAATTTATCCACAATATGTTCAACAATATGTTCAACCAGGGAGTATCGCATCCATAGTGCATGCCTATAAATATACATAATTCATAACCTCCTTGTAGCTGGATTACAGGACGATGCCACCATGTTGGATCACTTCTAATCCCATATCAATTAATGATGCTTCCCAACCAAAGGTATGACATTAGATACTCACCAGGCCAGTGTATCCTACCTTAATGCCACTGGCATGAAAACATAAATTATTTTATATTAAAGCCCAAAGGACCTTTATTGTTTTAAATAGCTTCCTTCAGCCCCATAGAAGTAAGGATCCCAAAGGTCTGGGTCAGGTGCAGTACACCAGGACTCGCATCCTTATTATATCAGATACGACCTTGGCCCCGTTATGGAGGTCAGACCTCACATTTACATTGCCACATCAGGAAGAAAACTTCACTTCCTGAAAGGACAGTTACCTCTTTCACTCCATGCAGCAGTTTTGGAACATATTATAAATTTCGATATAAGCGTTTTATTTTATTTATCTTTAAAACTAAGTTAGTATTATTTATTTTCCATTACCCGATCAGATGGGCATAAAAGGCTTGTGGGTAGAAAGTATCAGGCAAAGAAAGGGATGAGCGGAAACTGAACAAGAATCAACTGTAACGATACATTTTTTAAGAGATGACACCAGCACAAGGACTTGAACCCAATACATTGCCTTGATGCTACCGAGTCACCAAATGAGCCACAAACTCACCAGTAAATCGATAGTTGAATTTCAGTAATTTTAATTTACTGTTTTGGTTTCTAGGGTAAGCCATGTGACCAGAAACTGCACACTGTCTTATTTAAATCAACAGAGATTGACTGTATTTAAACTGGAGTCTTTGGGGCCAAAGTGTACATTATTACTTCATGCTAACACTACTATTATTATTGTACTATTATCTAAACATTATTTTACTACAAACTAGAATATGTTTGTGGAACTTAGCCTAATAGGCAAAATAATTTCCCCTACTATATAAATTAGCAATTAGATTGAGTTTGACATTAAGTTTGTTGGGACAAGTGCAGAGAGAGGGGTTCATTACCTTCCAATGCCAAACTGTGGTCATGATGGCGATTGAGATTACTGATTGGTCAGTAAACTAGCACAAGAGTCTAGAGTCGTGACGCAACGTTTAATTTCTTGTTTCAAATTGTATTTTCCCCCACAGAGTAAGTGGTACAAACTCCTCGTAATACAAAATAAGTGAGTGGAATCTTTTATAGGTGTTTCTCAGTGACAACCTCCGCTAAATAAACTGTAATTTGTTTTGTTAATTGATGTTAAACAACAAGACATTAAAAATTCCAACTTAAATAGAAGCCATAAAAGCACTTTATGTAGCATGCTCAATAGCTAATTGGGTTTGGTATAAATTGAAAAAAACCTCAATCGACACAATCATTTACCCGAAAATACAGTCTCACAAATAGACCTAGTGTATACAATTGTGTTAAGATACCGTTTAATAAAATTGAACAATAGGTTGTCATGTAGTAAAGGTTTAAAAAATTAATAACTTTAACACCCAAAAATAACAATTTAAATCAATAGTTGGAGGCTATGTTATTTTCTTAAGACTGTTTTACTGAGCCACAGAAAAGTACTATACTTATACAAAACATTACAGATTTAAATAAATGTACACAAATGTTAAGAGAATCACAATTGAAATGTTGGGTTCTTGAGTACCTATATATAGATGTTTGACAAAAGATGTTAAACCACCATAATTGATTAAACTTGATATAAATTCTCTTACATGATAACCTACTAGTGAGTACAATGTTTTATCTATGGTACAATCAATCAATCTCAACAAATTAGTTTATACGCAATAATGTTTATGGTAACAATTAAAACAAAACAATTAAAAAAAAAACTTCTTAATATAAACAAATAACATAAACCAAGATTAAATTAACTGAAGTCAACAAAACAACAGATCAAGCGTCATAAAAAAATATTAAATGAAACATGAAACTCAAGTGAAAAGTTGAATTGTCTACCTGTGGGTTTGTCAACACAAAAACTAGAAACTTCGAAACACAGCCAGATGTTGAAACACATATCAAGTTTTATCTAGGCCTAGTGGCCCTTACGAAATTAACAGCTTTCAAACTGAATAAAAACTCAATTTTAACATACTCAACACATAGTTTTGGTGTTATAATACTAAATAACAAAACCAAAAAGCTGTAATTCATATAATAAAAGTAGACAAATCTAAGGAAATATTTATTAAAATATTTTCACAGTAAGACAATTCTGTAGAGTAGGTACTTCTTCTTATACAGACACATTTATAAAACAATTGTTATTTAGTTTTCTCAATTAAAGAGTCTAATAGATACAATGAATAATTATTTGCAATAAAGCTAAACTGAAATGGTGGATGGTTACTAAGTTACAAGTTGCAATTAGACAATTCTATAATAATGTGGAACTATACTTTTTCAAAAGACAAAAATGTATAAACTACTTATATCTCAGACATTTATCATCAATTTACGTGTGGTAAGTGTGTAGTGTTATACAGGGCACATCAAGGTAAAGATTGAATGGATTAGCTCTCAACATGAAACATGTAAAATATATGGACCTCCCAGTATATGTATACATATACTCAACTTGACACATGCCTTACATAACGTAAAGTGATTTTTACGTCACATTTACTTACGTGATTTTTAAATTAACTCAATTTATTTAAAAACTATTTAAAACCAAATTTTTGAAAATCCATTAAATTAAATGTTTAATAGGAAGAACTCTAGATAGGGGTGGCAAGATACTTAAACCATTGTTCAGCATAAAAACCATAAATAATAAAAGTTTTGCTCCAAAATGAAACCATTCCAACCGTTTCAAATCGTCTTTTCAGCGGCGTCCTTGAATGGTTGGGAAAACAGCACAATGACTATCTAAGCTCTAGTTGCGTTAGCGGATCCAACATTTACTATTATTATATATTTTTTTATTTAATATATCGTGAGACCGGAAAGTATTTCTTTAATAATCATTTTCGGTCTTTTTTTGCGCAGTCCTCTGAAACGTGTGAGAAAGATTATAAGTTACTATGTTACATTTCAACGTGATATTTAAATATATCCAAATAAAAATATTGAATTAACTTGACGTATATGGAAAGAAAACTTTAATCCGAGTAACAAATTCCACAATTTGAACTGCAACAGTCTATTTCACATCCGACTTATTATATTTACAACAATAAGGTAATTAGAGGTTATAAATAAATCAACTAATGTGCTTGGATAACAAAACAAACATAATTACAGTGACTTGGCAAATTGCTAGTTTGGAACAGGTTTAAGGTCAAAAATGTTTTTGGTCGAGCAAATAGGCCTACACAGGCAAGCTATAACAAAATACATTGTCAAAACTTCAAACTACATAGTAGAGCTTCTTTTATGCCTACAAATTGCAAGAACACATTAATTGTGTGTAAAGGCATTTTCGTAGTTGAAAATATGTTTGTATTGTTAATAACATTTTAATATTTTTGCTATTTTAAGTGGGTTTACAATGTAATAACTAATTGATTTCTTCCGTTTCCCTACGCATAAATGTAGTATTTGTATTTCTTGTTTGTTGATAATGTTTATTGGTTGTTTATTTATTGATTTGTTTTGCAAATTTCTTATGTTAATTAATTTAAATTTCTTATCTAATTTCTTTGTACCTGATTATGTAGTGAGCTCATTTTTGTAATGATTAAGATATGATTTGATACTTTAAGGGGGGGCTCCACCAAAAAAACTAGGAATTTAAAAAAGTATCAAATTTCAGCTATTTACCAAAAAGTGTTCTACAGTAATTCCTGAACATTTTAATGTATAACATGTAGTAAAAATATTTTTTATGCAGTGTTATTTTACAAAACAGTACCATTCGTTAACTTTTTTGTTACTGTCCAATCGTATTTATTCGTTATTGCAGGTAATCTCAAATAATAATTTATGTTTGTTAAAAAAGTTAGAATAATTCATCTTTTTATAGTTATTGTAAACTGGTTCTTGGACGTTAAAATAAAAAATAAAGTACTTGCTTACTTAAAATTATAAATGCATCAAATGCTAAAAGTTATCCGTATTTTTTATTATTAATACAATTAGTTGAATATGACATAAATGTAGTACAGTTACTAACATTTTTCCTTGTTCAAAAATATGACTGATATGATAAATCAAATGCATTCCTCCCCTTAGTGGGTGTTTTTTTCCTAAAAAAACAGATGTTTATGGGGACAGATATATCTGGAGTTAGGTACAGTACCTAAGTAGGTAAGTACAGTAAGATAATTTTTAATTTAAAGAATACATGTACATCTACAAACTGTAATTTGGGAATTGCTAAACATAAATATTTCTATAAAAATCTTATTATCAATTTATTTTTCAATTTTATTATGAAATATTTTTGTTTATTCATCACAACACTTTTCTCTGAACTTGGCTTATTCCATTCTACAGTTTGTACCCTAGAGTAGAATGTCCCCTTCAAAACAAAACAAAAATTGTATAATGTATGTGAGAACTTGAGATACCGTACGGTATGTATTTTTCTGTACTACCCGAATAAAAAACCAAACTTTAGTTAATCGCTATGGAAACATATATATCACCAATGTTGTTTGTTGTTTTAACAAAGTTTAAAGGGGAACTCTACCAAAATAAAAAATCTATTACATATTATTATTTAGTAGGTACATGAAAAAAAAAACTTTATTGCAACATAATACCTCAAAGAATGGTAGGAGATCGTTGAAAATGAAAATTCTGTAAATCCTGTAATGGGGTACTGTTTTGTAAAATAACACTGCATAAAAAATATTTTTACTACCTGTTATACATTAAAATGTTCAGGAATTACTGTAGAACACTTTTTGGTAAATAGCTGAAATTTGATACTTTTTTAAATTCCTAGTTTTTTTGGTGGAGCCCCCCCTTAAAGTATCAAATCATATCTTAATATTTTGCGTGCAACTTTACTAACTTTACCAACTCAAACTGTAGAGCAAAAAAACACATGTCTTATATAAACATGGAAAAATTATTTTAACTGTACTGCAACACACCAAAATAACAATCGAATTATTTCATTATTCATCCGGTATATAAGCACGGACGTACCTTATGTCTGTGGACGGAATGCACTGGCCGGTCGTTCGGCGACGACTGAGACTGAGCCGCCCCACTGGATCAGCTGATAATATACTTCACAGCTGATCGTTCGCGCATTGATTATCCTCAAACACGCGTAAACAGAAAACATAACCTCAAAATCAGGAAAACACACCGCAGGGTACACGGTCACGGTTACTTGTTTATACGGATAAACTTAAATTTCCCAACTACTTCAGGAAAAGTACCGAGTTTGAAAAATAAAAGTTGATACTGCAATCGCTTTATAAAGCATTAGAATTAGCAAAAAAGATTTACAATCTTCTTGGAATACAAACACTTTATATTAGTAAGTGTGGTCTGAGCATTCATTGGGTTGGGATCGTTGACTTGGGAAACATCACCACATGACAGGTATTCTAACGCTAACGCACCACGTTTTTCTAAGTAAATTACACGTTAATTTTAATCGTGCTCGTACAAAATGTATTTACTCAATGGATTAACTAGTCTTCTTAAGTAGGTATTAGTAGTTTCATCAAGTACATGTTTAATTTCAACAATCGAAACCCCACTTTAAGACTACTCCAAATTACACAGCTAAGTAGGTAGCCTATATCGATTGATAATGAACTCGACAATTCATTCATTCAAGTTTAGATTTCCTTAAAAAATTGTCCAGTATACTGTATATAGGTAATTTTTCTGTTTGTTGTAGGTAATGAATGGTAAGCTGTGGTGATGTTTATAAGTATCATTGTTTCCCGGTTTGTTTACTAACCTTGCCACGTTCTGTTCTTCCCCGTTTGATGACAAAATCAGACGACCCAAGAGCCAAGAGTTTGAATTTAACTCTCTAAGCAGATATGGATGAGCTCAACGATCGTTGTCATTTTACCAATCATCGCTGCAGAACGTAGATATAAAAAAATTGCATATGAAATAAAGTAATAACCAATTTCAATAGGTGTGCAGTTCCAGTTTGGTCGCGTTGCAGGTTGCACTGTAGTCGTTTGGAAGATTCAAATTTTTATATTCTTATAATTCAATAACTCTTTTATTCCGCTTATTTTATCACAGCTTTATAGTACTGCGAACAAGCGATGTTCCATTTCTACCAGCCCACAATAGAAGAATTGTGGGCATTAGAAACTCACGAATGTTTAATATAGGTTGGAACATGTTTTATTTAGTTCACATAATTTTTAAACTAATTTGGAAACAATCAGTGCATTCCTGTTCTTACACATTGATGAGCGCTGAGTTGTTGGTCAAGTCTGAGTATGAAGTCACGTTTTTGACCCTTGATCCTATTTTAACAATAGCAGACACACGTTCATCTATTTGCATACAGTTGCGGTAGGAAGCAATGTTTACTTGAACCGTTTGATCACAATTCTGTCTGATTAATTACAGAAACACAAATTGGAACTACGCATTACAATGTATGCAAAACAATCTTGGCACCCCCGCCGCAGCAAACCTGCAGAATATTTGAATTTCCATTTGCCTGATTGGACGTTCACTCAAATATATCGTTTAAATGTCTGGATTATTCCCCATTTAAACAAAATTATGTTTAGCTAGTTGTTCTGTCCGTGCTTCACAACGAGGCAAGAAATCTAAAATGAGTATAATGTGAAGAACGATTACTTAAGACCAAATGTGGGGCTCAAACTCCAAATATAAATCCCAAAGTACCCATAAACTTTTGAGAAAACTAAAAGTCACACCTCCATAAAAAATATACTTAAAATGTTCGTAATGACGAGAAACCTTGCACAAAACTATCCATTATTTCATAAATTGCCCTTTAGTGTCGTAATTCCTTTCCAAAGGGTACTTTCCATATACCTAATGTTAAAAATATACCTCAGCTTTCCTTTTTTGTTTGTTATTCTTTCAATTTACTACCTTATTAAAACCGGCGTGATTGTTTGTTTGTATTATTGTATTCTGTTTGGTTTATTTCAGCCCAATAGCCAATCTATAGTTTTATTAATACTTATGAAGTCAAACGAGGTGAACCCCGTGGGTAACAGCTAGTCTACTGTAAATAAAAATCAGTAACACACGCTTACCATACAAATATATTTTGAACTCTACAAAACTGTTTGGAAAGAAATTGCAAATTTTTATGTTTAAAATGATAAAAAAAGTGTATACCCCAAGAAACCCTGTTCCCATAGTTTGATTGTCCTGGTACGCGACTTCACCACATTAGTTATTTTAAGTGATTTCTATCATATCTACACGGCTGACTATGTTGAGTCCTTGAAAAGTCGCCATCACTTTCTAGATTGGTTTACAGTTACGTCATGAACACGGGGAACAAATACTAGACCTAGAACCACTGCACGGTTAGGTCACCTGCCAGAAGTATAACGATAACTCATAAACTCAAGAAACATATACGTGGCTACGTGGCATTGTGATAAAATACAGTTTTATCTTTTAGTTTTGTCGGATTTATTTTTGGGGTTGAGGCCAAAGGTAAACCAGTCAATTAAGTTCAGAAGTTACATGTACAGTTTTACCACATACATATATACTTAATTACGACAAAACTATTCATCATCGTTCCAAAAAAATTTTAAATTTGCCTATCTCTATAAAACTTGAGCTCGCATCGATAATTAAATTTATTTGGACCAAATGTAGTTTTTAAAGTAATATACTTTTCGAACAATCAAACTACACGATCAGCTGTTTCTAGATTGGCGAGTAAAGCGGGACAAAACATGACTGTCATCAATGACGTCATAGACATGCGTCATCAGCTGTTCTCTCTCGGTCCACGATTTGATGTTGGCAATTCCCCGACGTCACTTGCAGGTGTTTGCGAGATGGAATTTGCTTAAATTTGACCTCATCCTTAAAATGTTTCCTTTTAATCTAGTTAATTGGTCATTTGCATTACAATTTTGCACGTAGGAAAAATGTTTTCCCCCGAATTAATATTGGAATCAACTACAAGTCATGTTTTATAAGTATAAGAGGAGTCACCTTCGTTTGAAAAATAAATGAGTTCTATGAAATAAACGGATAATATTTTTATCACACCTATTTTGGAATATTAATTATATCATGCAGCCTTCAAAACTAAGACTACATTTTGCATCACAACTCTGTATTGCACATAACATCTCCTGGTTTGCAGGTGCATAGGCCTAGTATTACTATCATTTTGTATAAATTAATTGTGTTTTAAGGGAAATAAATTATCTTATGTCTTTGTGTTCTCCCTTAATTTAGAGGAATATAAGAGGAGAAAAACTAAATCTAGACGGGACAAAACAAACTTGTTTAAAGTAAAAAATAAACCTTTATTGACAACCCATGTTATAAATTCTAAAAATATTAAAAATATAAATTCATTGTGACTGTCAGCAAAAAATAACAAGATTTTGTTTTAGACAACGTTCTAAATATAAAACACATCCTATAACTTAACAACTTGTCCATATTCCACCAAAATAACGGAATAGTATGTTGGTACTTCATCCCTATCCTTGCAGGTATTTGCGAGAAGGAATTTGCTACATTTCATCACTAGGGCGTAAAGTGAGTCTTTTGGACCCGAGCTCATGTTTCACAACCGAGGCAAAACCGAGGTTGGAAAACGAGCGAAGGTTGAAAAAAGACTTTTTGCCCGTGTAGGGAACTATATTTTTCATCATATACCTTATTTATGCAAATTATGGTGTCGAAAAAGGAAAGACGTTTTTATATGATATTAGTTCAATAAGAAAATTTCAAAAAATATCTAAAATCTAAGTAATGTAAAAATGTTCTGAGCTTTAAGTTTTGTAGAGAGTTGAATGTTTGTTTGAAAGCCAGATCCAAAGACAGCAAGTCCTAACACTTTTAAAGCATTTCCTTATTTTATTTTTTTATAATAGAAAATATTCCTTTTTAACTTAATATCTACACAGTTCTGTCTGAAAACTTTAATGTATAGCTTTTTTCCGTCTTCTGGCAAAAACAGGCCTGCATTTTGTATGACACGGTAGGTGCCAGAGACCTCTTCTCTCTTGATATGCATCATCCATAAAAAATACTCTAGTCATAGGTATTTGATGATTTGACACACACATTCACAACACCAAAGACAATTTATAGTAAACTATCATATCAAACATAAATACTAGAGATTGTCAGAGTTGTACTTTTTGTTCAGGATGGGGTTTTCATGTACTTCCCAATTTTCGATTAAAGAATGGATTTTTCCTTCCGTGCAACAAGGGATACTTATTTTTTTTCTTCAGAGTCTGCTTTCAGTCCTGCTTGCGGCAATGTACGTACACGCCTGTAGTTGATGGCCTATCTGTAATTGGTTTGTATTTTCATTTTGTGTTACGTGTAAAATGTTAAAACTTATTCTGACCACAACTCAAGAAGTGGGTCCTTTTGTAAGCCTGACAATGGGGGGAGTCATATGAAGATTCACCGAAATATGAGTGTAGCAAAAATTGATACTACGTACATGATAAGGATTGTCTGACAAGGTACGTTTAACCATTATTAGTCATGAAACGCAATCCTGGGGCTATCAAAATGAATTACAGTAGAGTCCCGCAAACTCAGCACTCGATAACCCGGCAGTCTGGATAACTCGGCCATCACCTGGCTCAGATAATTAGTGATTTTTTGAATCCGAGTTAAACATGGACTCAAGCCAGCTCAAGTCAAATCATTCACAACTCGTACCAAAGATTTGTTGTACTATATCTGATGACTTAATACTGACTTGTAATATAAATATAAATAAAAAAAGGCGGTTAAAAGCTTTAAAATTGCATTGTTCTTATTTTTAACCCTAGTTCCCCATAACCCGGCATTTCACAGACTCGGCACCCTTCCAGTCCACATTACGCCGAGTTTGCGGGACTCTACTGTATAATTAAAATCTTCAGTAAAATATTATTTAATTTCAACTGGTAAAATGTACACTTTCCCAGCTTATGGCAGGCAGTAATGATAAAAAAAATGTTATTCATTAATGCACTGTTCTATGTCATCCATCGTAACTGTAATTGCCGTGCTATCGTTATTATCTCTCGCAATCGCAAAACATAACTGTCGTCATCCGCCACAGCGATGAATTGGTGATCACCTTAATCGGTCTCAGAGACATTGTCATCATCTTTTGAGATCGCAACAAAATAACTAATAGTTGGAACAAACGCTGCCTTGAGAAAATACTGAATTGAATATGATCCCGCTCTAAGATCGGAATTACAGTACATTTATCCCTAAAATATCCCAAACTTTTGGGACCTATCCATCCCTAATAAATATAGTTATATACAGTAAATAAAAAATAAATAAATAAGGTCTTTATTCATGAGCGAATTTCAGTAACAATACTGTTTTACAAATTGACTCAAGTCAGGACTAAAACTAAACAAACATTCTTAACACTACAAAACAAAATAAAAATTTAATTATAAATTCTTCAGGCGAGCTTTACATTTTTTGTAAGACAGTGCTTTTAGTGTACAAGGAAGTGCATTGTACTGAGCCGGCCCGAAGTAAGAAAACCCCCTTCTACCAGCATCAAGAACAATTTTTGGTATGTCAAGCAACAAGTCCTGTCTAGTTCTGCGCTCTCTCACGGCCGACCTCGCTTTCAGTTTTTCCTTTAAATATTGTGGTGCCTCAGTGATAAGTGTCTTGTGGACGATACAGACAACCTGCTTATCACAGCTCTCCTGGACGGAAATTGTATTCGACATCCTACGGTGAATTGTGATATGGTCATACTTTTTAAGTTTGTATACGAACCTTAGAGAGCAATTCTGTAGCCTGTGTAGTATAGTGATCTGTTCCTGTGTTAAACTGTATCCAAAAACAGGTAGGCAGTAATTTAAGGTAGGGAAAATCAGGGATTTGACCAACCTCAACTTGATGTTTGTTGGGAGCAATGTTCTAAACCTATTACTTACTTACTCCCAGGGCCATTTATATCGGAGGTGATATTTGGCCACACCAACAAATCTTCGCCAAGTTAACCGGTCTTTCGCATCATCCTCCATTGCCCCAATTCTCTCCAAATCTTCTTGCACTTGCTTCCACCACCTCTGCTTAGGTCTTCCCCAGGGTCGCCTTCCTGTAGTGTTTCCCTTTAAAACTCTTCCCAGTCTACAATCTTCACCTCCTCATAATATATGACCAGCCCATCTGATTCTTCGGCACTTGATTTCTCCAATTACATCTGTGCTATTATACAGTTGCCTTAATTCCCTATTGTGTCTTATTATCCATTCTCCTTGCTCAAATATTGGTCCAAAAATCTTCCTTAAAATTTTTTTTAATACTATTAGTTTCTTTTCATCTCTTTTATTCAATTTCCAGGTTTCTGATCCATATAGGAGAACTGGGCAAATTATTGTTTTGTACAGCCTGATTTTTGTTTTGCGGGACAAAGATTTAGATGAAAGTAATTTATTGCAAGCATGAAAACATTTATTTGCTGAATTTATTCGGCTTTGGATTTCTAGTTCATCAGTATTTTGGTTAGATATAATTACTCCTAGGTATTTACAACTGTTGACTTTTTAAAATGTATGGCCATCAATTTCTATTGATAGAACTATTAATTTTCCAACAACACTTTTGCTTATCTGTTAGACATGGTTAGAAAAGGTCAGCTGTGAGTCAACCGCCACCCCAAGAATCTTAATGCTTTTGGAAGTTGATAGCTCTGAATTATCAACTGTGACTTTGATGCTGTGTTTTTCCAACTGCTCATAGATTGCTGCATTGGCAAAGTGCATAGCGGAGCATTTTTCAGGGTTTAGTTTTAACCCATGATCCCTAGACCATTCTCAAACCTTTGAAAGGTCACTACTCATGTGTTGTAATGCCTCCCCAACCAAAGTAGGCTGGTATGATAATAAGATTTGGCAGTCGTCAGCATAAGAATACATAATCCCGAAATCCAATACAGATTCAATACCTACTATATACATATTAAATAAGATAGAACCAAGACAACATCCCTGGGGAACACCGACTGTCTTTGCCAGTGACGATGAGAGCTGATTTCCAACCTTTGTAATCTGTGATCTCCCACTCAAATATGTGGTCATCCACTCTAGAGCCGTACCGTCAAATATGACGTATTTTAACTTTGAAATTAACATGCTATGGTTTACAGAATCAAACGCCTGTGTATAATCTAATGACGACAATACGCTGCATTGCTTGTTATTTTTGGCTTTGTAAATTTCGTCAATCATATTAAGCAAAGCTGTCATTGAAATTATTGATTTGGTAATATTGAATTAATTAGCAAATCAGGTCAAGAAACTTATTCACAACTAAAATAATAAGCTGCCTAATGAGATTGGACAGAACAAACTGACAAAGAAAGAGCAAGATCAAGTAGCAATATGCAAACAATGGCAATAATGAGTCATGAGCAAAAACCGAGTGGGATGAGAATTCTAACAGGTGCACGATTTTACATATTTGCTCATTGCTTGCCCCTAGGCTAACGCTCCACCATGCCCATATACTAAAGCAACCCTGGGAGTAAATATGGAATAATAAACAACTCGTGTTTTAAAATTAGATTTACTGAACACAATGAATTAAATGATCAATCATTGTAAACAGAGCTAGTTTTGTTGCTCCTTCAATTACATGCAAAAATCTTTAATAAATACTTGATCATAACATATTACAACCGTTAATAAAACATAGTTGCCTAAAACAATCATACGAATCCCAAAAGCGCTGTTTATAGAAACCAGTCGGGAGTTTTTCAGTTACCTTTATCAATTTTATAACATTTTGGGATTTTAAAAATAGGCTTCGAAATTTGCTCACCTTTCTTTAGCAATTCGGTGAAAAAACTCCTTTTCCTCGAAAACAATGAACAAAGTGATCATGCCAAATGAAATTACCACCCTACTCACTAGCAAGAGGCCGATCAGGTTTCTATAAGCAATGCTCAACAGACTACAATTCAATACTTAATTAATAATTCTTAAATTTAAACATTTTCATTCACACAATTACAGTCAACACAATGTACATGTTATTTTCTTACAAAAAGCTAAAATAGTAAATAAATAATTGACATGATAGTGTACGTCTGACAGTGGTACAATTGAATGTGATCTTAAACACACAAGTGTTCATAAGGTATTAGACACACGGATTTATTAAAAAAATCACACATAAATTAAAATACACAGGGATTGTAGTTTGAAATCAATCAGAAAATCAAACCTGCTTCATCTAATGAGTAACACAAGAAGAACTTTTTGTGGCTTGGCTCACAATAATTACAATTTAAAAAGTTAAATGTTTGGTCTCAGTCAAAATATCTTTCTTAAATCTATTCATAAACAGTACAGGTGATAATCACCAAAGTAAAACATAAGTGTCTACTGAAGTTAAACTAAGGGAGAAGGCTTCATTTACAACATCAACTGTCCTTCTACCAGGAGGTTTGAACGACTCACTCTGGAACAACTTGCGCCATGGTTTAACCATAATACTATTCCTTTCACTTAGAATTGCATGTTCAAACCTAATTTGCCAACATAACTAAGAAAGTATTAGCATAGACAAATAGAATTAAATACAGACCGTCAGCAGTGCTGCAGTTAGCATAAGTTACGTATCTCGTGCGCCGCAACTACACGGCGCTCCCAGCAACTTATGACACCAGAACTTATGCTAACCGCAGCACTGCTAACAATGTATGTTTAATTCTATTTGTATGGTATTAGGTATCTTACAGTATCTGCATATATCAGCTGATTTTACAAAACACTTTCTTTGAAAAACAACTTTCTAGTCGACCACGAGTACAGAAACCAACTAGGTACTCTCTATGTAGTGCGGGGGAAGTTCACATTAATTTGTTCTGTCAATTTGTTACCTGTATACGGTACCATAGACTTTTGAAGGGTGTCTAATAGCTTATGAACTCCATGGACCCAAGGACACTCTAAGGGCATCACCATTTTTACATAAAATTATAACTAGATCAACATTGTACACAATTAACAGCATTACGTTCTATAATGCATATTAGGCCAACAGAATCTTACCGTTTGAGTATTATTTTTTACTTAACCAAATTGAAATTAAGTTTAATTATCTACAATTATATCATATTTAAAGGCAACTTCACTTTAATAGCCATAAAATAGTAATTTATGGTTTAAATTAAAACAAAATGAACTATTAGACCTATCAACCAACAAAATTTTTGTTAATTTATAATCCATAGACGAGCATTAGTATTTACTTTAATTCAGTAAATTGTTGTTATTAGTATTTCATTTCAATCTATTGGCTACGTGAGACTGTCTAACTACTTTAGTTTTAACAAGTCCTGTATTAACAGTGATGGACGAGGATGACATTTCACATCATGAAAAAAGTTAATTGTTATTTTCCATTGGACTGTTATATGATAACACTTTCCAGTAAACAGGTAGGCAATTATATAGTAACAATACTAAATTTTGGACAGCTTCCTTACATAAAGTAATACACCTGGTGTTGACATAGGTATAAACAAAATAAATTTAAATAAATAACAATAAAACAGATGTTGAGTCATTTGTATTACTGAGAATGATTTTAACCAGCTGAGAAAAGTTACAATTATTATCAACACTATTTTAAAATCATATCATCACGGGTACTGCAATATTGTAAAATCATTCTTATATAATAATTTTTGTTTATAACCGATCTATAAATAAAATAGTTCAAGTTAAAATGCATATATAAATACTACAGTACTAACATAAACTAAACATGCAAATAAATAATTAAAAGTTTATGTCATATTTAGTGACTGTATTGATGGTAAAACAAAGGAACGATTAAAAATACAATTAAATACAATTAATGGGTGTTTGTCAGTTATGGTAACGTAAATGTATCTAATCGGTTACTTATGGTTTTATGGAGATATCTACAGTGATTTAATTAGGGAATAGAATTATCCATGATGATTTCATTTTTTAATTATCAGATCTAAGAATCTATGTAACCAATAAATAATATCTTAATTCAAGATGTACTGAGAAAACACGGCCACAACTCATTTATTTAAACAAATTGAATTCTCTTCCATAGTAGGTCTATACTATCATACATCAAGCATTTAAAAATGACCTTGTTATTGTAGATTATAAAAAAAAAATTAGACTCATTCTTTGCTGGGAATATCAGATGCGCTTTATAAAAAATTTCAACAAAGCTTGACGTATAGTGCTAGGCCTACTTGAATTGAGAAAACTGATTGTGAATTTGAAGAGCTGTATAAAAACAAGAGTGGTGGCTGTTTAATAACTAACCTAAAGCACTATCTACACACGCTTGTGTCTGTACTTGGATCCGAGGATGCATTCAGTTGAGAGCAGACAAACCTGATGTCAGCATCTCTCTGGTAATGTTTCTCAACACAAGAGATTGGCTTCGGATCCAAGTCCGATACTCCTATGTTAAACACAAACCGAGCCCCGGAGTCTCTGTCCACCACAACATGTTGAGGCGGAACTGACGAGTCGTCCCCGAGACGTTGAAAGGCGATGAGAATAGAACAGTCTTTAGCTGTGGTGGCCAACAGGTACCTCTGGACAGTGTCCATGCAGAGACAGTCCGTGTCCGGATCACGTAAGTTCACCATGTAATCATCACAACTCTTGTCTTGCCGCAACATGTGGTAGACGGTGTTGGTGTCCGACGTCTGAAGCTTTTGTATCCTCAGAATACGGTCGAGGATGCAATTTTCCGGGAGAACTTGACTGGAGGTGTCACAGGGTTGCAATTTTTTTACTCCGTGATCGCTGGTAGGATGAATGTGCGGAGGACATATTATGGGATAGAACTCATCTTTGATGGGTGGGAACTCGTCGGAACCGAGCAAATTTGAGGTCAAGACTTGTTGAACTAACCTACAAAAACTATCTACAAGCGAACTGTCCGGGGAAGGTTTTAACCAATCCTTGAGAACTCCTGTGAGATCGTCACACTCGTCACTGTACACTAAAATACCTTCTTTGAAAATCTTCAGATTGTTTTGAGGAGTCCGCAACAGTGCTCTCATGGCCTTACTCATGCGCTTTTCGTCACCAGAAAACAGATCTAGAGGACAGTATTGGCTAATTCTACTGACAGCACCGTTAGATAGCTTGAGGTACTGGTTGAGACAAAAAGTGCACTTGGTGAGATGAGTTTGAGTATTCGGTATCCATCCTTGCTTCGGTTTGATCTCTACGCAGAAGGTAGGATTGTTCTTCGCGCCTAAAACTAAATCTATTTCACGACAGTTGGAGTCAGCAGAGGGCAGAGAGGAGGCACCTTCTACATTGAAACAAACTTGTGTTTCCTCACTAGCCGATGCTGTGTGCTGAGTTAAGCACTCGGGTAACAAGGCATAATCCGGGTAGATATTAACATAACCGAAGCTGATTCCCTTATGATGGCGGTAATTAGGTCGCTGCGGTATCAGAAGACGGTCAAGTTTTCTAATCTCTTCATGGGGCACCCTAGCAACCACCGGGGGTTGAATATAAGCTGCTCCCAGGAGACGGACCATCACTGCCCGACAGAAGTAAGCTTCTCGACACACTCGCCTCAGCTCATCCAGCTCAACGTCTTCAGAGACGGGTGCGTCTCTGCGGGTCTTGTGCAGTCGGAGGATGACTCTGTCTTCAGGCAATGCTATTACCAAGTTGGCGTTCCCTTCTCCTCGGTACTTCCACTTCTTCTTCAGTATACTGAGATGGGTGACCTCGGGAGACATCATCTCCTCACTCAGCACCTGGTCCTGGGAGAGACAAACTCTTAACCTTCCAATGCAACATGGCATTACAGGCAAAATATGTTGTCTACTTATAAATGTACAATAGATGAGTTTCATTACTGTATTAAAGTTAATATTTTTAATAAAAACCTGGAGTTTTTCCATAAAAGAGACAACTAATAACCTTATGAGTTAGGATCATTGACTGGACTAAGCAAATTGAAACTAGTAGACTTATATGTTGTTTTAAATGTCTCTTTCTAATTTAAAAATGTTTTTAACATTAACTTTTAACTACTGACAAGTTTAACTATCTTCAAAAACAATATACTGGAACTCAAACAATAATTAGGTTTCCACTCATGTCTTACAACATATTTAGATTTTTCGTGATGAAAATGCATTGCAAAAGACTAAAAATAAATCCTTATCTTGAAAATACATGGTTTTTTATGGTTGTTGTAATATGAAGAACGAAATAAAAATGCATTTATTCAAGAAGCAAACAAAACTGAGCTGACATTAAATTAAACAAATTAAAACTTAGGGTTTCTTTCACCACTGTTGATATTTCGTCCTCTGTAATAAAGAACTACTTTTAATATAAACAAATCAAACTGTAGCCTAAATCAACATGGACTATTGTTGGGGAAAGCTATGTACTGAATTCAGTACTTAGCGTTTGACGGTCATTTCAATGTTTGTAAAAAGAGCACAGATTACCTGTCCCAACCAAAATTAATTTTATGCATGATGGCTTGACAATAAATTATACAGTAACGCCTGCTTTGGTACTACGATAAAGGATTCCATATGTTACTTCATTCTATGTCAGACAAGAGGGCAACAAACCAGTTCAAGTTGGCCAAATGTAAAGATGTCTCATGAAAGACAAAGCTGTGTATCCTGAGTAGGCCTAACTTCTATAAGGCAACATAGGTGAATGTAACGTATCCGTCAGTTTAAACATTTTTGACACCAAGACAGATTATACGAATGATATGATGAGTTACGCACCTTTTGTCTGTCATCAATCTTTTAATTAGTCTAGGGTGACTAGTTTTGGGTCAAGGACCCATTTTTAAACCCACATTGAATTGGTTGCTCCATAAATCTGACAGAAGTCTTCGTTATATAAACACATGTTGAGACATTAAGTTCACATTTATTTATTAAAAAAACAACTGTTAATAACAGTAAACCGGGTCACCGTTAAACGAGGGGTAAATCAAAGCAGATTGCATATTGGACGCAGCGGAACTAGCCGTAGTTGAAGCGGTGACATTGACCATGGGGGTGGGGGTATGTCAGCTGTTAACTGGAGTGGGCTAGTTCTATTGAGTCCGCCATGCAATCTGCGTCGGTTTGTCTCTTGTTTAAATGTGACTGGCCAACAGTTATCAAATGTTTTTTTAATGTTAAATGTGAACTTTATGTGTTTAAATATTAAAGAAAACTTCCATTGGATCCATAGAACAACCAATTTGATGTGGGTTTGAAAATATGTATTTGACCCTAAAGACTGAAGACATACAAAAGGTACAGAACCTATCATATCATCCATCAGTTTGTTCTACAGTGTTTTGAGTATTCTCATGGAACTGTTTTTGATTTGTCAAATATTTTATATTATAAATCATACTGTGTTTAGAATTTTAGGAAATACATCCCTTAACCTTAAGAGAGACATTCTTTTTGATTGTATAGAAAGGTGAAGCTTAAAGTGGATTCCTTGACGATCGGTGGGGTTTGAGCAATACTCACTCTGACTCATTACTAAAGCAGTTTGTTGTGTCAAAACAACAAGTGGACTCAAAATATTCTGTTGCTAACGTTGTTTGGAGTGAAAAAAATGAAGGTACAATAAGTTTTGAAAAAGCTAATTTTATTTCAAATGATCAAAACTGTAAGGTAACAAAAATATGTAAATGCTTTTCATAACACTTTATAAGGAAACTTGTATCCTTAGTACAAAGGTTGTCTGTAAATTTAAGTCTCCAATGAGTGTTAGCAGCAAGACCAGATGGTTCTTTACACTTTCCCTACCGGTACAACTATTCTAGCTGGTCCTCACCTGCAGTTAGTTTTGTTACAGTAGCTGATAATGATGAAAAATCTGATAAAGTAATAAATCACTTGTTATTGAAATCCATTACACGGATTTGTATCCAGAAAACTGAGACAATAGTGCATGTGGCGTAGGGAGTTTGAAAAGGATTCATATTTTGTAAAATGAATCCACAACGAGGGTGCACGTTAGTTTTCATTGAGATAGTCATTAAAGTCAAGAAAACTGTGCTTCCTGGTTTATTAGGTTTTAATTTTTTTTTTCAAACCAACGGCAAAGTATTAAAAGATTTAAAATGCTAATCAGAGTCAATAAAATCAACGTAAAATAATTGGTTTTAGCCTAGTGTAAGTTTAATTTAACAAACTAACCTGTGAAATTAAACAGTCAGAAGGTGCATAACAGTGAAGAGCTCCTACCAGTTGGAGGTTACTTGGAACACCCGACTTATGTTCCGAATCCCATCTGAAATCAAAGCCACGGGTCAAAATAAGATAGTAAGAGAATGTAGAAGCTGTATATCCAAATATATAGTCTTATTTTATCGATAGTTTTTATGGTTTAACGCTGGCTTACCTTGAAATTTGAGTAGACCTTGACAAAAACCCTAAACTGTCATTTGACTATATAAATCACCTTGCTCTTACAAAAAAAAAAACTCTCTTTTTTCTTTCTTGATAATTTTCCTTGTGTGCCAAGTTTATGGAATGTGGCAGGTGCTTTGAATGCTGACATTTGAGAACCGGAACTGAAACCTAGAGGGAGTTACGACCCTTCTCTGAATCTCTCTAATTTCCTCTCCTCTATAAGTGCAACCAAACACAGTAACAACATACATGATCATTAATTTTCTTTAAATACTTGAAAATCTCTTAAAGGTTGATCTCTTTTAAGAGGGCCCAGAACATTCCTCTTTGTTTCACATATAAATCAAATCAAATATAATTTATTCCATGAAAAATTGAATGTTTTACATAAATTGCAATAATTCTAAAAATAAATGGATGATCCCCACATAGTAAGCCTGTGTGTGAGGAATGAGTTTCAGTCCTAGTTGCATTTACAAAAGGAGGAAAAAACATTTTACCAGGAAGTAAAAGTAATTCCTGACTACTTAATTATACCGATACAATCATATTTTTAACTGGAATTATTCCATAAAGTGTAGTTTGTCACGGCGTTTTACAGTGTGATAGTCATACTGCTGTTTCTCTGGTGCTTCAGTAGATGGTTGAATCCAACCTAGTCGAGTGCTAGTGTCACATTCAGTAATTATTAAACTTGTCCATGCCGGGCAACAGTGATCTGGTGATTCAGTTGACTAAGCTGTTGTACTGACCAGTGTAGATCTGAGGTCTTTCTACATTATGCTGTTTCTCTGGTGCTTCAGTAGATGGTTGAATCCAACCTAGTCGAGTGCTAGTGTCACATTCAGTAATTATTAAACTTGTCCACGCCGGGCAACAGTGATCTGGTGATTCAGTTGACTAAGCTGTTGTACTGACCAGTGTAGATCTGAGGTCTTTCTACATTATGCTGGTTCTCTGGTGCTTCAGTAGATGGTTGAATCCAACCTAGTCGAGTGCTAGTGTCACATTCAGTAATTATTAAACTTGTCCACGCCGGGCAACAGTGATCTGGTGATTCAGTTGACTAAGCTGTTGTACTGACCAGTGTAGATCTGAGGTCTTTCTACATTATGCTGGTTCGATTCTCGTACATGTGCAATCCATGTAAAGCTTACTAATACGTGTAATAAACAGTGTCCACCCAACACCAGTTAACAGTAAAAAAATCCAGGCTAAATAAATAAACTGGTTTAAATGTCGTATATAAATTAATTGAATTGAACACCGGTTTTACTTAGTTTTACATTAACTTTTATAGGCCTATAGCAAATTTTGTCAAAATATTATTTAAAAGATACATATAGGTAACACAATTTCTATGTCAATGAGTTGATAGAAAACTTAATATGAGTTGCCTATAGACCTTTAAAACTAAAGCGAAAATGTATTTCTAGTCCAGAAAATTAAATAAAATTAGTATTACAAACATTTGTAGGCCTGGTAAAAATCTTTTAAATACCCCCGCTGCAGCAAACCTTCCGACTAAGCGAATTTCCATATGTCTGATTGATAAGATTTTCAATCAAATCTATTTAAATAACATTAGGTTTTTTAAACCAGTTAGGCTACCTAGATTTGCTGCTACAAGGAAACTAATAGTGTGTTTTTTTGTAAAATATTAATAGGCCTAAGAGTATAAAATAAATAAATTTGCCAAGTTTGATCAAAATATTTATCCATAAACAAGCAAACTACAACATTTTACAATATTCTCCGTAAGAATAACATGTGAATTTAAATTTACAATTTTTTAAATTTTATCCGTTACCAATAATTTTACAAAAACACTTTAATAAGACTAAATTATTTGTTTTTTTAAGCTCTTTAAAAAAGTCTAAAGAGAAATTGGGAAATTTTGTGTTTGAGGGTCAAAATTGAGAAAAACCATTTTTTAACCCATAAAAACCCCGTTCCCATGGTTCGATGATCATGCTGGTTTGCAAACTCTTTCAAGTTTATCCCGCCTTACACATTTAAATTAAATTCCATCAAAATCGAACAAAAATTACTCAAGTTATCGCGTTCACAGTCGTATACATGATGTATAAATCTATATAGGCTACCATAAATTTGAACAAATAATGTTTTTGGCCTCTGTGGACACCAAAATGAAAAAGAAATTAGGTCCCGGGCCTAGGTCTTCCCGTGCCACCAACGGTAATAGCTACTTCCCTATAGGGAAATTAGCTAAAAGGATACAAGGCCAATATTAAACTTTTTTTTATTAATACCAAAATATTGAACAATAATATATTAAGTACTGTACAAATTCTTATTTTTCAAATATGACTAAGTTAACTGCCCAATAACAAAGACTGAATTACTGTAAACTTACCTACATTCCATTTGATACAATGGCATTGTTGAATTAAAATAGCCCAGAAACTATTTAGAAGCTAAATCCATGTCAGACAACAGCTCAATGAATGGTCAATAGATAAGACTCTAATGATTCATGTATGAAAATTATCATAAGTACACTATGATGCAAGAAGATATCACATTGTCGTTGTGATGACTCAAAAAATAAAGATTCACCATGACTCACTGAATGTTCAATCAGAATATAATTTGTGGACAGATTGAAAATTAAAACATGTTCACCTAATTATAAATGTTTAAAAATAATATGTAGGCCTAACTGCTTTTTCAAGAGAAAACATAGCCTATATATTAAATGACCAAGTTAGATTTTTTTATAAAATATTCTGTTGTAAGTAGTAACTGTATGTGTTTTGACGATACTTTTCACTTTCCCAGATGTAAGTACCTGTACTTGGATCTTTAAAAATCCTTCAAAAGCTTTGGATATCATATAGATATGTGAAAATTTAGGTTCCCTTCTATCAATGGACTTAATTAGGTCTACTGAAGGTGGGCTTTAAACAAATTCTTGGCACATAGGTACATGTGTTAGACCACTTGCATTCAAACTAAACTCAAGCCACATATCTCAGACAAGGACGGTTTATCAACAAGCCATGTAGCCATGTAGGGTACCTATTTACAGTCTAACCTTGATACAACGAACCTCGATATATAACGAATTCCTTGATACAAAGATTTTTTTTTTAATCCCCTAGAACTCTCCATAAGACACAATGTATGTTTTACCTCTAACGAACAAACCATATCAACAACCATGATTTAACGAATTTTTCATGATCCCGGCTAAAACAAGACACCTCAATATAACGAATTTGTCATTGTCAGAACCTCAACATAGTGAATTTAACCTCTTCTTAACGAATTGTCTGCGTCTCTTCCTCGATACAACGGGTCGCCGGAATTTTATCCCCCTGGAATTTTACCCCCTGGGCAAAGCTGACGTCACTATGACGTAGAAACATGAGTGGCCAAAAGTTTGTTCGCGGCCGGAATTTTACCCCCGCGGATTTGGAAGTCTAATGAAAATAGCCAGAGCGTGATTAATTAGATTAGCGATAAAAACCGGAATTTTACCCCCTGTCCATATAACTAGCGTTTAGACAACTAAAAATGTACGGGCCGGATTTTTACCCCCGGAATTTTACCCCCGGATTTTTAGCCCCCGGAATTTTACCCCCGGATTTTTACCCTCGGAATTTTACCCCCTGGAATTTTACCCCTGGCTGATTTTAGAAATTGAATGATTGATTTTCTTATTTATGTTTTTAATTAATTGTAAACATTTTATTATTTAGTAGTCAATCTTTATTTATTTATTTTGTAAAGAAATGTTCGAAACAATTATCATTCAGTTGATTTTTTATACGTCATACCCCTTTTTTAAACAACTGTTGGCTTAAAAGATCAAATCCTAATACTAGAATCTCAAAATTAAAATTAAAAACTTGTTCAATTAGTTAATGTTACAAATAAATTAATATACAGTAGGCTACTTAATAATAAAATGTTTGCTATTAAATTAAAACAGAATGAAGATAATTAATCATTCTCACTAATTTATATATCTGGCCAGGGGGGTAAATTCCGGGGGGTAAAATTCCGGGGGGTAAAATTCCGGGGGTAAAATTCCGGAGGTAAAAATCCGGGCCGTACACTCTAGGTTTTTATAATTTTATGTGTTCTGATTAAATTCACAACCATGAAAATATATGTTTAATTCCGCGTTAATCCATCGAGCTGATTTCGCGAAACTCAAAAGTTCGCGGCCGGAATTTTACCCCCTGGTTTGTGACGTCACGTTTGCCCAGGGGGTAAAATTCCAGGGGGATAAAAATCTGCAACCCCGATACAACGAACCCCCCACCCCCATTATTGTTTTTGAAAAAGCAGTTTCTTCATCAAATGAAATAGAAAGGTGACATCATCGCTCGCGCTAACATTCGTCTGCTCCATTTTAACACATCGCTGTCTGCCGTCTGCTGTCGTCGCTGCATGCGCGCTATGTCACAACTGAGAACGAGAACTGATTTCATTCACTGAGGACTGATGACGACGTAATGTGTAGTAAGCTGTGATTGGGTGATAAGTATATATGGTCAATTGTACAATTTTTTGAGGATGAAAAACCTAAGAAAGAAAAAAATAGAAGAACAAAGCAAAGAGAAAGAATAGAAACATCGTTACCAGTATCTTAACATTCCTTTTACGAGTGGTTTTATTATCTTCAAGTTGGCTAGGCCTATTATTATACACTTTTATAAAGACTTATCTAATAATTTTATTATTTTCAATACGATTTGTTTTAACTAAGGCAACACCAATTCCATAGTTGATGATTATTATATTGATGAGTATTGACATACCTCTGTGATTTAAAGCAGTACTGTAGCACTGTAGCCTACCGGCCAATCACGAGCAGTAGCTTACAAAACTTTCTACTACTGTTTTGATTTGTTCTTTACGTGGTTTATTGCTATACAATACAGTGTTTGGCTAGGTTTTAGGTGGGTTGGAGTAAGCTGTGATTTTAAACTTACAGTTTGTAAACTGTACCAAGGTTAATGACTAGAAATGTCATGATTGCGCAATATTAAAGATTCCTACCCTTTAGTACCCCAGATAATCGAGGTTCTACTTTACAATGTAAACACTGTACTACTGTAAAGTATTGTAGCCTATGCTACTTTAATTGTGTTTTAATGAGATCAAATCACGACCTATATTGACTGATGCTGGTTCTGAACCTCGACTTAGCGAAATTCCTGCAAACCTAACCTCAATATAACGAATCTCGTTTTAACGAAATCCTTGATAAAACGAATATTCAGATCAGTCCCTTCAGATTCGTTATACCGAGGTTGGACTGTATAGGCTATGCTGATGATTTGATGCGATTCGCCTATTGGGTCTGATGATAATTGGAGTGTCCAATCGAAATCGATCACCACTTACCATCTTTTTTGTATATTTGCCGTTTTGTGAGTAACAGTAAGCGTAAATATATGTTTTAAGTGTTACCTATAAGACGTTTCTTTTTTTTTCCTTTCCGTAAGATGTATTTACAAAAAATAATTGACTTGTCTATGCATTATACATGTAAAATTAACGAATAAATGTCTTCTGTCTTATGGCGTAAACCTATCAATATGCATAGGCCTATTCATTTCATTCAGAAGAGCCAGGGGAGTATAAATACATACATGCAAATTAAATCTGGGTAGGTAGGCCTACGGTAATGTTTTTGGCAAAATACAAAAAATTTCAAAAATTCTAATTGAAATTTTTAATAGAGTCTTGTTATTTACCCTATATTTTAAAGACAAAACTATTACCTATAGGCCTACATATTTTGAAATAAATTTAATTTCCTAAAAATTTTTGAAAATTAACCATATTCTTCACCCTTCATATCTAAACAGGTTGCCGCAAACCGATTTCAAATATCTCTTATAGGTAGGCCTAGTTAAAAAGATAGGCTAACAGGGGTGCAAGTTAATTTTCAGCCACCCTCATGGTTATTTGGATTTGATACGTTTTAGGGCACCATTTTGTTATTAACTTAGTAGGCCGATTTTGGTTTTCTTTAGGTCAATTGTTTTGTTTCCTCAAGACCTGTAAAATTATACCAAACTCAACTATAAGTTACTTGCCATTTAAAAATTTTCAGCTACCCCTAAGGACAAAATTTTCAAAATTGACCATAATTATTGTAGCCCTCATATTTAAGAAGGTTGCCACAAACCGATTTCAAATATCTCAAATGGTTAAAAAGTTAAAAGGGGATGCAAGTTACTTTTCAGGGGTACAGTTTCTTAACTGGGCTATGCTAATATTGATTGAAACTATCAAATTGAAAATATTGATTAATAATCGATATTTTTTAATATATCTATTAGGTAAAGAGAACATTGCCGACCCATCTTCAAAGAATTGGGAATCCTCACAGTGGTGAGCCAGTACGTACTTAATAGTCTGGTCTTGCTAAAGGAAAACCTTAGTGATTTTGTGACCCGAGGTGGTAGGCATGAGTATGGAATAAGAAGGGCCCATGACCAGGATATGCCTTGCTGCCGCTTGAGCCATACCTACCTTAAGGAGACACCCCCGCTCGGCTATCAAAATCTACAACTCCCTTCCAAACCACCTAAGGAACCTTGACTGTACAGCGTTTAAGTCCGAGCTGAAGAACTTGCTCACAAATAGGCCCCTGTATAGTCTTGACAAGTTGTCAATTATGATCAAATGATGATTGGTAATTGTTTTAAGTTATTGAAGCAACATCTATTGTTTATTCTAATTTTAGTTCTAATTGACATGACCAATGCAAATTTTGTATTTGTTATTTTGGTTTAATAAATGAGTTATGAGTTATGATCCTTTGATGCCAGGTTGAGAAACAGACACGCTTACCACAGCCTAAGTTTCAAGTTTTAAGTTTTTAAGATTTATCTACTTTGTAAAGCAAGTTTTGTATACAGGCCCTAACTTAATAAATTTGTAAATATTAGTATAACGACGCAATCTATCCGATATACTTTGGTTCAAAGATTAAGACAACAAGTATTCAAGTAAGTAAGTATTCAAGTATTAAATAAAACTATCATAGCCTAACCTAACCAACCAAACTTGCTGATGGTGAAAAACTCGCATGAAAGTTTATTAATCAAATCGAAAGTTTCAATCAATATTAGCATAGCCTAGTGATGGGCGATACGGGTCAATGTATCGATACTGCGTATCGATACGTATCGGAACGTGGTGTATCGTATCGTATCCTCATGTATCGATTTTTATCTGTATCGGATAAAATATCGTATCGTATTGTTTATTTATAATTTATATAAAAAAATTAAATATCTCAAATATACAAGCTGCATAGACAAATACTAGGCTATGTTACTTACAAGCTTGTGAAGAGGGTTATAATAGGTTATTAATAACTTATTATATTATAAGACCTTCCTGTGTCTTTTTATTTGTATCAAACATACATACATAACCTCCAAATTCCTGTAAACCCTCTAATTGGAAAACATTTTGTTATTGTTTTCCTAGTTTTTACACTGGGATAAGTTAATTAATTGGACCAAAAAGTACTAATAATGATGGTGGGTATGCCACTTACACATTAAATAGTAGCCTGGTAGGCCTGGTAGAACTGGCAACATTGCAAGTGGTGTTGTTCAGTGACAGACGTCCCATAAGATAACATGGCAGACAGGTGACATCAGCTCATTAATTCACACTTTATTGATTTAATTGAGCGAAGCTCTTTGGGATCAACTTCAATGCAAACAATATAACACCATCACTCAATAACGGCTGAACACATTTCAGCCAAACTTAACAAGACTACTTAGACTAATAATGAGATGGTTTGTAAACAAACAAATTTCAATTAGATAATGCTAATGCAATTTAAAACGAACTTAAAATTTAAAATTTTTAACATTGGGCTTATGGGACTAAAGTAGCTATGACAGTTTTTTTGTTTACAAGAAAAATGTAAACAAGAGAATCATAAGGTATTTCTGAACTTTCTATACTTTTCTTTTAAACGATTTTAAACCATTCCTATGATTTTAATAAACAAGAAAATGCCGTTAAAACATTTTTTAAGGCACGGAATTCACTGAAAATCGAGAAAATATACTGAACTACTTTCTCAATGCGCGGAGCATAAACAAGGAGCGGAGGGATACGGACCGGTGACTACTTTCTTGGGAACCTATTTGTGATGCCAGCTGATTAGAAACAGCCAATGTTAGAAATCAGGATTTAATAAGCGATATATCGAACCGCATCGAAATCGGTATTTAATCCGATAATACCTCATAGGTTATATTATGTTTAATTACATCGACGGTACAGTAAGTTATTACACTTATTGATAAAACGCAGATTGAACACTGATTTAGGCATGTGGGGAGGTAGGTCGGGGTTTATGAGTATTCGTGACTACATTAAGTGTTTTGAAGTAAGGTTAGATTAGGAAGGTATAGTGTAGGTATACTTTATACTTTCTTATGAAATGGTGACCATGGAGTCATACCTAGGTCCACCGCGGTCAATCTCCCCCGCGCTAGTTTCTGCAAGGTCTGCGGCCGGCGGAGCATGAGACCAACAATCCCTCCCACTTGCCTCTGAGTCGCACAGTTTGGTTTGGCCGACCTAACCAAACGGTGCGGCGGACAACTGGAGACTACTTCACTCGTAACTACGCCTGCAAAATGTAGGATACTTTACCAAAGCACTGCTGTATTGCGGGCTGACTAATGAGACCGTTTTCTGTAAAGTAGTAATTGTACAAATTACCGTACACTTGCTTGGCTACGAGAAAATAATTATTCAATTGTCATATCTATTCCACGATTATTAATGGTTTTGAAATCCATACACCACTTTACTCACTAATATTAATGGTACAGATTAAGCACATAACATTAGAATAATAATTCACTTTAAACACAAATGCAAATTGTCAACGACAACATTATTACATTTGTTAATTAAAGACAAATCAATCAAATAACAATAAGCCGTTTAATTATTAACACAAAAGGTTTCGTATGATTAGATTATGCATACTGATAAACCACCTATGGCCATCTATAATAATATTTATTTGGGTTTTCTTTTCCGAGTCGGGTTAGCTCTTCTACTCGGCCGATTTTCATAATTTTGGCCTCAAACTAAAGGTATGGACGCACTACAGATTTGCAATCAAGAATCGGCATTCATTTTTATTGACGTATATTTCGAGTTATGCAAAACTCATAAACTAACTCGTTCATAAACTAACCTCATAGTTCTTAGAATATTTGTATATTCAACCAGCTGTTAGTTATAACAAATTATATTGCACTAAAACAAACTAAAGATTTTATAGACTGTTGAAAAAATAAATTAGAACATCTATTATTTTAATTTTACTTTGTACTAGCTGTTTTGCTCGTTCTACGTACGGGAATCTTGTAGTAAGTTGAAACCTTATATCATTGACTATAAATCCTTAAAAGACAACGCATACATACGGGCCCATTGTAATGGCCGGAGCTGAGCCAGGTCCGTGGGTTCAGTTAGTTGGTCTGCACCTCCGAAAGACAGCGCGTGCGTCAATTGTTTTATTCCTTCTCTGCCAGAGAGTGCTGGCAGCGCACTCCCGCCCGGCGCCCGGCGCCCGGCGGCCCGGCCCGCACTCGGCGCACTCGCAGTACAGACACTAGACAGAGTACGCCGTGCTGCCGGTTCGCTAATCGCTACAGCGCACACGCGCACGTACCTACACGTACACCACACAGTCCCTTCACTCTCTGTCCTCTCACCGTACTTCCAGTTCCACTGATACTGCATCGTACCCCAACGATGCGATTATATTATGACCGCAACCGAGCATTGTTACCTACCCAATTCCTATGGTTTAATTAAATTTGTCATACCTACACACACATTTTTTCACACTTACACACACATATACCAACACCATACCCCTACTACCCATTTACCCAGAACTACTTTAATTTTCAATCTGCATCCAGGGATATAAAAAAATTGAAATATAGTAAAAATTATTTTTTACGGAATGGATTTTAGCTTAGCGGTAAATTCCCAAATATATTATACCATTGAAATTTATATTATTAAAAGAATTTGTTGGATGTTTGTATTCAGCACATTGACCCCTAAATATTTATTTTCCTAGGCATTTTGGGTATCAATTTTAAAGCTCCAATTATTTAGATGTGCCTTTTGTGGGTTTAGATGATAACCCGTGAAAGCCCTTCGTCCAATAGGCTTTTACCATTTCAGAGTTTATTAATCATCTATCAATCATCAATCAGTTGTCAATCATCTTAACTTTTTCATGTCAACACTAGCTGTTTGCCCGTTCTACGTACGGGAATCTAGTAGTAAGTTAAAACCCACGAATACTATAAAAGACCCCTTATATTCAGAACAGGAGTTTGGTTTGCATATTTAGTGTGCATTTTTCCAGATATGATGGCAAAACTATAACTGTTTAGGAATACATATAAACCTTCTCAAATACAATATCTGACAGTTTCAAAGCCAAAACGAATGCTTCGCAATTAAATATCACCCGATCGTGTTAGTCCATATTTTATATCAAACGATGAAAGGAATTGCTTTACAGTATAGATCTATGAGGCATAGCCCTAAGGTAGGCCTGTAATTTAAAGTTACTTTTCACACAGGTTAAAAGTAGTTAAAACACTTCCTCAACCTCAACTGCACACTTTATTCGGGTTTAAATTTTTATTAACAATGGTGCTCTTGTCTTTTCCACGAAAAATAAGGACATTAATGCGTTACCAACAGACATACACACACAAATACAGAATTGAGTTCACACAACATTTTTGAGTCCAGACAGAAAACGCTAAAGATTATTCAGTAAGACATCAGTTAAATTTAATAAGCAATAAGGTGCAGTGTTTATAAATAAATAGTGAAAATAGTGATATGTTGAAATTATTCTTACTGCTACCACCGGTTCTAAGGAACCAACGGTTCAAGGAACTAGTAGCAGTACCAAAAACCAACGTTTACATTTGAGAAAAGAACTGTAGTACTTACGACTAATTCAAACTGTCCTTCTAATCAAACTGTATTATAGGTGTTAATTAATTTGTTGGCAAATATATACATAAATAAATACACAGGCCACAAAACATGTAACATGTAACGTTAACAACGTAAAGCTTTGAAAACTTACTACGGTTTGCTAAAAACACTTTCACTTGATGTGGTTCAGTACAGAAGTTATTAATCTCCTTTGGTTTTAAAAGTTTTTAAGTTTTCGAAAATCAAAGTTATTTTCCATTAGTAGCATTATTTGTAAGAAGCTTTTAATGTTAACATATTAATGGCAGTTTGAAGAAACCACCTTTATCCAAACAAAGGTTTCTTATTTAAAAGATTACGTAATCTCTAAACGATAATCGGTACATATATCTAGCAAACATTCGGAGGAAATGTGACAAAAAACGCACAAATCTGGGGTTTTGTACGTTTGTAGTTTTACTTCCTAAGTAGGAAAAGTACCGATATCGTTGTCGAAATGTAAGTAAGTAGAAACCAAAAGTGACACATTGGAAAAGCGAGTTTAGCTACATCTGTTAAGTTAAACCTCCGTTACGGTACGATCACAGCGAAATCAGAAAGATCTTCCAAGATCGCAGCAACATCCACGATCACCCACTCACTGCACTCAGTGCCGGATTTAGGGTACTAGCGGCCCTAGGCCAAATTACTTGAGCGGCCCTCCCCCTGTGGTGGAAATTCCTTGAGATAGCGGAAGTAATCGTGAATATCTCCTATGCATCTAGAGGACATTATTATCGACACCCGTGATCGCGGACATCTCTCCTAAACCAAGACAAATCCATCATAGGTATCCGTGACCGCGGCAAAATCGTAAACATCCCCCGCGGGCTGCAACAAAGGGACATAATCCTCAACATCAGTCACAACCGCGGCGAAATCATATCCCGTGGGCTTTGACCTTGAGGACATCATCACCCTCATCTCCCGCGAGCCACAATCACGGGGACATCATCATCGACACTCGCGACCGTGGCCAAATCGTAGACATCTCCCGCGAAACAGCAATCACGGGGACATCATCATCGACACTTGCGATCGCGGCAAAGTCGTGTTAAAAATATCTCCGGTGGACTGCGATCATGACGACATCATAATTGTCCCCCGCGGTCGTGCCGAAATCGTAAACAACTCCCGTGAGCCGCAATCACGGGGACAACATCATCGACACTCGTGACAGTGGCTAATTCTTGAACGTCTCTCGCGGGCTGCGACCATGAGGACACATCGCCGTCACCCGCGGCCGCGGCTAAATCGTGAACGTCTCCCGTGGGCCGCAATCATGGGGACATCATCATTGACAACTCGCGACAGCGGCTAATTCTTGAACGTCTCCCGCGGGCTGCGACCATGAGGACACATCGCCGTCACCCGCGGCCGCGGCTAAATCGTGAACGTCTCCCGTGGGCCGCAATCATGGGGACATCATCATTGACAACTCGCGACAGCGGCTAATTCTTGAACGTCTCCCGCGGGCTGCGACCATGAGGACACATCGCCGTCACCCGCGGCCGCGGCTAAATCGTGAACGTCTCCCGTGGGCCGTAATCATGGGGACATCATCATTGACAACTCGCGACAGCGGCTAATTCTTGAACGTCTCCCGCGGGCTGCGATCATGAGGACACATCGCCGTCACCACAGAAAACATACTAATATAACCTTATACTATAAGGTTGTAGTAGTATGTTTTCTGTGCCGTCACCCGCGGCCGTGGCAAAATCGTGAACATCTCCCTTGGTCCGCGGAGACATCATTAGGGTCACCTGTGATCGCTGCAAACTGGTGGTAAAAAAATATATTTTTTATCTAAATAATGTTATTTCTCAATCCTCTGCGGCCCCCTTCTGCTTGCGGCCCTAGGCCGCGGCCTAATCGGCCTAGTGGTAAATCCGGCACTGACTGCACTTGTGATTTTGCACTTTACATAACTGTCCTTCAATCACCGTCAATGAGTGGAAACCTTTGTAAGCTACGGTATTGGTGACGATGATAAAAAAAAATGTAAGTTTCCTTGCACTGATACAACACTAATTCACGGCATTTTCCCCGGTTATCAAAACTCAAGAACAATCGTTGCACTTGCGATTAATTAAACCGGTAAGTAAGGCACAAAGTTTTTAATCTCACTTGGTTTGGATGTGCGGGATGTGCTGACTAAACTTGATCGGAAATGGTTATTTGTAAACAACTTTTAATGTAAACATATCAGTGACAGCTAGAAGTGAGAACTAATCCAAACAGCTGATCGTTATTTCATAAAATGTAATAGTAAACATTGGGAGAAAATTTGACAAAAATCGAACAAAATTGGGTTTTTGGTGGTTCGTTATTTTGTTTTCAAAGAAGCGAGGCATTTTTTTATAGCCAAAGACACTCTCACCAATCCAGTAAATACAGAAAAATGATTAGAACCTTGATCGGTACTCTAGTTTTCTAGGAGTAGGCCGGTAAAATGACATTTTGGCGTTACAGACGGAGTCACAGAATGGACAAACAGACATACAGACAGAAATTTAAATAAGACTCGTTTCGGCTTTCTTAGGCTATGAAACGTAAAAAAACCAAACACTGAATGATTCTAAGCAATGTACAGACAAAACTGTAATTCTATTTATATAGATTTTAATTTGTTTACATAACAACAGATAAAAATGCTACAAATTCGTTTACATCCATACGAAAATCGTTAGAGTTGGTGATGTAGTGAATTCAAGTAAAATATTGCAATCTTATTTGTA